AAAATATAGATTACAACTTTAATATTCTCTGAAAGATAGGACATTTGTAAGTCTCAAGGAAAATTTTGAACAAAATCTACCAATACAGTATTAAGAAATATAAAATTATAAGTAAATGTCCCATAACTGCCACGCCTACTCTAAAGCTAAATCTTTGTTTTTTAAACACTCACTTACCATCAGCCACTATTATAAGTCTTTCTCAGTTTAACTAACCACTCCAGCAGCAGTAGTGGGCTTGAGCCTAGCCTAGGCTAATATGTCAGCATAGTAGGGGCTTCCTCATATGAGACATAATGTGGGAATAAAGGGTGGAGTTAAAGTTAATTGTTGAAAAAATTTTTTTTAATTTTGCTTAGCGACAATATCACTTATAATTAAAGATAATTTTCAGGATAATAAAAATTTGATCATTTTTTTCTAATTGCATTTCATTTTCTCTTATTATTTTTGTGCTATAACTATTTTTTGTGTCTATGTCAATTCATTTTATGTCTACTATCATGATTTCATTTGTTTTGTAATTTGAAAATTGATGCATTATAGCTGATTGAGGTAGCATCAGAGTCATGTACAAAAAATTGAACACATATGTAACTGGAGTTATGGGCACTTCCATAATGTAAAACTAATTCCAGGAGGATCTTCAATGATTTTTATAATGTAGAAACTTTTACATGTAGATTTAAGCTGAGTCTTTATATAAAGTAATGTACATGCATAAAAGTTTGAAACTATAAGGCCTGGTACACAATATCAGCCTTGTGACCGGAAGTGCTGCACAAACCAATGGCACGCGCGTCAATAACGCAAGAGTTGAACTTTGGTCAACTCATGCGTTAACTCGCAGCGTTTGTACAGCACTTCCGGTACTCTTCCTGTTGCAATGCATGATATTGTGTACTAGGCCTAATAAGTACTGATATCAGCATGACAAAATGAGATAGTCTCTAATATACCATAGCAAAGAAAAGGAACAACAATACCAATCAGCAAGTAAGATACAATACTATAGTTACAGTAGTTATAAGTACTGGAGTTAACTATCTGCCATTAATAGTTAAGGGATTATATGAGGTAAGCTAGTAGTGTGCAGAAAATAAGGACAAAGACTGATGCCATCATAGTAGCACTGCCATCAGTTGGACTAGTCATCAACTCATCAAAAACACCTGCAAAAAAGAATTATAATTTAAATATAGACTCCTCTTTCTCTCCTTACCTGGACACTGTGCTGCAGTACCCAGTGTGATGCGATCATCTGATACTATTGGAGTACTTGGATGTGGCCCAATGCTTGATATAGTTCCATTAGCATTAACGGTAGCAGCTCCATTAAGAGCATACACAAAGAACCTTGGACTGCTCAGATCAATATCTTGAGTGGTATCAACTGCTGAAACAGCACGGATGAAACTAAATGTCGTAAGTCCGTTGCTATGGGAGACACGAGTTGCTAGGAGATGATTCATGTTGTCAGCTGGTGGCATAGCACGAGCAGTAGCATATCTTAAAAAGAAAGGGAGAGGAGAGAGATATATATAGTGAGGGATGTAGTGACATTAGTACCTATAGTTACCTGTCAGTTACTTCTCCTCTACCATCAGAATTAACTGCTGCAAGAGCAATATCAGTTTGAGGCTGAAATAGAATGAAAATTAATAGTTATAATAGACACTACTACCGGTATGTAGTTACCATTAATCTGTTATCAGAGAATCCAATTGCAACCCATCGTCCAGTTGAAACACGACCGGTGACATTAAATTGAACGTGTTCACCTTTAACTAGCCATGTGGCTCGATAAAGACAAGGGCCATTGGTACAACCGTAAGAATAGCCACCGCCACAAGTTGAGCTATTGGAAAATGACTTAGGATCTGAGAGAAAGCAGAAGGAAGACAGAAAGAAGAGTTTATTAGAATTGAATTCTTAAATGCATGCATGTGTACGTGACTGTGTGTGTCTTATCATAAGTGTATTCACCAATCACATGCTGGAGCAATAAAATAAACACTATGAAATGAATATACTTCGCACTTAAAAATCCTTTTCAGTTTACTAGCCTGGGCTACCTAGCTAACACCTCACAAGATGCTAATGAAGCAAGATCAAGCTTGACATCTTATCTTAAAACTATTAGTCATTTTTTGTGCTTGTTAGTGACTTCAAAGTGTTAAATGAGAAAAATCAGTAAAGATTTCCCCCACACTCCAATGTAAATATAGCCACCATCTCACTCTCTCTCTCTTTCTCTCTCTCTTTCTTACCAAAGAAGTTGATTGTTGCACCTCCACGATTGACAGATCCGTGGTACTTAATTTCATCTGGTTTATAGAACATGGTATTCATAGCAGTCCTTGCTTCAATGCCAGAGTTAGGATTGTGATTGTAGTTGGGGAAAACTTGACCCATTGACCAGATAACTTGCATGAAAGAGTTAGTAATATTGTGATCAGCATTAGTATCACCTGAAAGACAAAAAGAAAGCAAAACGAGTGTATGGGGTTCATGCTACAGTTTGGCCTGCAATGTTTATGCAGTTGCTGAGTATATGGGCTGGAATGCAAACTACAGCACGTGTGATATTGTATAACAGTATGCAACTATCAACACTTGCACGCTCCCCCTCATGCAGAGAATGCATGCATGAATATTCTTAAAATAGTTATATTATATACTTGGTTCTTATTTGCATATGAATTCAATTTTTTAAATAGCTATAGATATAGTCTAGTACATGTATATGAAGCTAAGCCGTTCTTGCATGCTTTTAGATTGACAAGGTTTAATGTTTATAGTCCTTACTGCTTGTGAGTTTCTTCCAGAACTTTATTTCGGTGATCCCATTGATCTCACGACCTACAGCTCCCACAATGTCTTGAGTCCCGGAATAAAACCCATCCATTTGAGGGGTTGAGCGATCACGAGTGTAATAATCAAAGACACGGAACCTGTTCCCTCGTGCAGTACCAATCACAATATCAGTACAGTCCATTGGATGAAGTGGAACAGTACCTGATGAATGAATTAAGAACAGAAGGAAAAGAGCATTTTTATGCATAATGCCTGCAAAATCACATACTTCCTTCTTCTGGTTCCTCCTCCTCTTCATTATTGCCTCCTTCTTCGTTGTTCCCCCCTTCCTCATTATTGCCCCCTTCCTCATTATTGCCCCCCTCCTCATTATTGCCCCCCTCCTCATTGTTGCCCCCCTCCTCTTCTGGTCCTCCACCAAGAACAGGGTTATATAAAGCACTGATTCCAATCACAGACTGCAGTGTCCCTCCTCTTGGCCAGAATGAGTTAGTCCCTGTCATTAGTGATCAGTAATTAGCATTATAAAGGTTTAATTATTGTCTTACCAACAGCAAAGGCTCCAGGAGATTGTGCCCTACATGCTGCAGTAATGCCTGAAATGATATCATTATGTATAAAAAATTAATCACAAAACTTTCTTGGCCCACCTGATGGTCTGAACCCAACAGCAACAAAGCTTGTTGTATTAGCACGTAGAGCAACTTCGAGCCTGTCAGGCTGATTGTTAGACTGCATAGTATAGTAATAAATTTAATAAATTTAGTATAGTTTATAGTGAATAAATTTACTATAAATTATTACTAAAATAATTACTATAAAATTTATTATAAATTTTTCTATAAATTTATTTATAGTAAATTTATAAAATTTACTAATAAATTTTGCTATGTAGCTTCAAAATAAAAGAAATCAATAGCAGACTAACATTGTTGAGGATTTTTGCCCACATTTCCAGATTGTTACCAAGACGACGATACAGTGGATAACTGCTAGCATCAATGGTAATATCTGTGAGAGGAGAAGCTGCAGAAAAAAGAAGAAATATTTCAATATCATGCATATAGTGGCCTTGGTTTAACTTTAACTTACCTGTTGCACAACCAGCTCCAAACCAGCCTGGATTGCAGAAGCATTGCTTCATTGGTCTGCTAGTGACATGGATATCAATACAGGAACCTTTAGAAGAGCCACCACAATCAGCATCAGATGTACAATCATCTATGAAAGCAGGAGTAGCTATAGGATCACTGTTTTGACTATGAGCATTGGTTACCTTTGTATTGGCAGAATTCTCCTGAATAGGTGTTGTTGCATGTACATACATTGTTGTTGCAGCTACCTTGACCACCGCATCTGTTATCGTCACAAACTATAACAAGAAAGTGAATATAGTGCATTACTAAGGTACACACGTTGCATGTGAGAGTGTTTATAGTGCAAAGAGGAAATCAGATTATGCGGCCACTATACATGCAGCCAATCTCATATACCTGCAGCGTTCTTAATCTCAATATCAGCACAAGAGTAAAAGAAGTATCCGCCATTTGCAGACCATTCCCCAGCTTGTCTCAGTAGCTGAAGGACGCAGCGATCGCAAGTGAAGTCAGTTGGAAGCTGTATAGTGACATATTGCTTACTATATGATGTATGCATGGTAAAGAAAACATGTATTGGTTGCATTTATGAGCTTACGTGCTGTCATCGAGCAGGGTCCAGTTGCTAAACATTAATCTGTTCAAACTGCCATTAACATTTAAAATGTTGACAAGAACGCCTCCCTATAGGGATACCGGTATGAATAAATTATATGCATAGAGAGCTTAATTTTATTTTACATACTTGATGAGGATAAGCAAGATGAAACGATACGTTGATAGTACTTCCATTGGCAAAGGTAGTCACGACAGCATTATTGCCTAGATCTATGAAGAAGAGGTCAGAAATACATGGAAATAAATACAAGCTAATTTCGGTAATTCGAACCTGGTACACCACAAGGACCTCCAGTCCTCACATTGTCCAGGAAGTCGTACCCGGGCCTGCGGGCTGGAGGAAAAGTAAGCGTGATGTGGCAGGAGCCAAGAGATATGAAGGCACAAAGGAAAAGACCAAGAGCTAGCTTCATCTTTGCCGCTGCAATTTTTACGAATTGGAATTTTGGCAGCTGCAATGCAGGGTGTACAAGCCACGCCCTTTCAGTAGGTGTTTGTTGTTTTTCTTGTTGCTATGGTTTTAGGTTTCACGGGCTTTTGCCGCAGTTTTGCGTGCTTTTCAAAATATGATTATTAAAAACTACTTATGATAATAACAATGATGATAATAATGATGATCAGTTACAAGTTACATTAGGTTAAACAATGATTATTATTCTTTATATGTAGCATTATTTATTATATGAATGCTGCAAGACTCTATAAGTTATACAAGTCAAAGGATTATATGAGGTAAGCTAATAGTGTGCAGAATATAAGGACAAAGACTGATAGCATCATGGTAGCACTGCCATCAGTTGGACCAGGACCAGTCAGCAACTCTTCAAAATTACCTACAAGAAATAAAAGAATAGAAAGACACAGATGATGTATGCTTTATGTTTCCCCCCCCCTCTCTCTCTCTTCTCCCCATCTCTCTCTCTCCTTACCTGGACACTGTGCTGGAGTACCCAGTGTGATACGATCATCTGATACTATTGGAATGTCTGGATGCTGTCCTATACTAGTTATAGTTCCATCAGCATTAAAGGTAGCAGCCCCATTAAGAGCATACACAAAGAACTTTGGACTTATCAGATCAATATCTTGAGTTGTATCAATTGCTGAAACGGTACGGATGAAAGTGAATGAAGTATAATTATTGCTGTAGATAACACGAGAGTATAGGATATTGTCCATATTATCAGCTGGTGGCATAGTTCTACCAGTAGCATATCTGAAGAGGAGAGAGAGAGAGAAGAGGTCACATCATGATGCAAGTATTAAGCTGTTGCTTACCTGTCAGTTACTTCTCCTCTGCCATTAGAACTAACTGCTGCAAGAACAATATCAGTTTGAGGCTGAGACAGAGAGAAAGAAAAAGAAACTTAGTTAAAATAGTTTAAATATAATTGTATTTAGCAAGTTTGAAAAACTGTCCTTGAAATACTTTGTTACATCAGGTTCAATAACAAGCAAAAGGTACAGCATTATTATTGCTAATTCTACCGTACAAACAAGTTTTTAAGTATTATTAATTTTTCTTTACCATATTTCTATCATCAGAGAAGCCAATGGCCACCCATCGACCTTGTCCAACGATGCCATTCACCTCAAACTTGACATGATCACCTCTCACAGTCCAAGTTGCATTATACCGACAGCGGCCACTAGTACATCCGGCCATGTAGCGTCCATTACAATTATCAGTAGTAGTAGTGTTAGGATTAGTGACATTAGGAGGAATGGTGGCGTTTAGATTAGGGAAAGTACCTAAGGGACAAAGAAAGAATAAAAGCATATAAAGTAGTATATGCATCATGCAATATAGCCTTCTCTCTCTCTCCCTCCCTCTCTCTCTCTCTCTCTCCCTCCCTCTCCCTCTCTCTCTCCTTACCTGGACACTGTGCTGGAGTACCAAGTGTGATACGTTCATTTGATACAATTGGATTAAGTGGATGCCGCCCTATACTAGCTATTCTTCCATTACTAAAAGTAGCTGTGCCATTAAAACCATAAACAAAAAACCTTGGACTTGTTAGATCAATATCTTGAGAAGTATCGCCAGTTGATAGAGGACGTGTGAAACTAAATGTGGTGAAACCATTGCTATGGGAGACACTGGTTGCTAGGAGATTGTTCATGGTGTCAGCTGGTGGTGTAAGACGAACAGTAGCATACCTTAAAGAGAGAGAGAGAGAGAGAGAGAGAGAGAGAGAGAGAGAGAGAGAGAGAGAGAGAGAAAGAGATGTAGTGACATTAGTACACATAGTTACCTGTCAGTTACTTCTCCTCTACCATCTGGGCCAACTGCTGCAAGAGCGATATCAGTTTGAGGCTAATAGAAGAAAGACATAAAATTGTTAACAAATATAATTTTGTAAAATGATCATAACTATTTTCTACATTGAATAAAAACATAAATATGTATCAATAAAAAATTATGGTGATTTTGGAGCCAATTTTTTGAAAAAAAAATACAGTCTTGGGCTAAATTTAGTCAAATTTGAAAAGTAATAACTTCTCAATTTTTATCATATTTTCTGATACATATACATGTACTTATGTTGCATAGAAAGTTTGAGCTGATTCCGATCAAAATTAGATTTTTTACAAATTTTTAAAGTTGCTGAAATTTTTATTAAATTTTCTTATGCATATTGATGTCCTAATGCTATATGCTCAATTTCCATATAAGGACACAATGAGTATCTACACTACTGCACTCCTTCCGATAACTCACCATTATTCTGTTATCGGAGAACCCGATTGCAAGCCATTGTCCGATTGGCACACGGCCAGTGACATTAAACTGAACATAGCTACCTCTAACTTCCCACGTGGCTCGATAAAGACACTGGCCATTGGCACAACCACTGGAATAGCTTCCAGTACAGGCAGTGTTATTGCTTAGAGTATCAGCAACTAGAAAAAAATAAACAGACATTTGAAATGATAAAGGATATCTTCATTTCCAAGATCAGACAGTTAGTCTCCTACTAATAGATTATAAGGTTACACTAAATTCCCCTACTCATCATGGTTGATCAACGCCAATCAGACTACACTTCCACTCCAAAAAAAGGAAGGAAACTTGAACCACAAAGTCACAAACTGGCGTACATGTACATGTACACATACAAGTACATGTACATGTACACATACAAGTACATGTATATATGTACATCTACAATTATGATAAATATTCAATTACACATACATGTACATGTACATTTACGATTTGATAAATATTCAATTACTGTTGCTTACATGGATTAAAAGTACATGGGAGAATGCTGTGAAAGCAGTTTCAATAAGGAAGTAAAGGGGACTAGAGGTGCTGTCTTTATAGCACCAAAAATAGACAGTAATTATTATGAGGGAACAGACTGAGCTATCAATATTTACAGTTTGTGCATTAGTCTATGTAAATATAACCACCCACCCCCCTCTCTGTCTGTCTCTCCCTCTCTCTGTCTCTGTCTCTCCCCCCCTCTCTCACTCTCTTTCTTACCAAAGAAGTTGATTGTTGCACCTCCACGATTGACAGATCCGTGGTACTTAATTTCATCCGGTTTATAGAACATCTCATTCATAGCAGTCCTTGCTTCAATCCCAGAGTTAGGATTGTGATTGTAGTTGGGGAAAACTTGACCCAGTGACCAGATAACTTGCATCAGAGAATTAGTAATGTTGTGATCAGCATTAGTATCACCTAAAAGAAGATGGAAAATTATGATGATGATAAACTGTTATTTTTATAAATAAAAAACTAGTTTCTATAATATCTTATAATTAAGCAATAAAATGAAGAAATTTCTTAGTACAATTAGCTCAAGTTTAACAATGCTATAAAGTGCTTTATAGTCCTTACTGCTTGTTAGTTTCTTCCAGAACTTTATTTCGGTGAACCCATTGATCTCACGACCTACAGCTCCTACAATGTCTTGAGTCCCAGAATAAAACCCATCCATTTGAGGGGTGGAGCGATCACGAGTGTAATAATCAAAAACACGGAACCTGTTCTCACGTGCAGTACCAATCACAATATCAGCACAGTCCATTGGATGGAGAGAAGTATCACCTAAGCAATAGAAGAATTAATATTTATGTAATGAATATTATTTTTAAGAAGCTTTATTTAGTGTGAATGTTTAGTGCCAAATTTGTACCTCCTTCTTCCTCCTCTTCATTATTGCCCCCTTCCTCATTATTGCCCCCTTCTTCGTTATTGCCTCCTTCTTCATTATTGCCCCCTTCTTCGTTATTGCCCCCTTCTTCGTTATTGCCCCCTTCCTCGTTATTGCCCCCCTCCTCATTACTGCCCCCTTCTTCATTACTGCCCCCATCTCCTCTATCAAATTCAGCACTGATTCCAATCACAGTCTCTAAAGTCCCATTTGGCCACAATGGGTTAGTCCCTATCATTAGCAATCAGTAATTAGTACTATTACATATCATTAAATGGTTAGTCTTACCGACTGGAAAGTTACCAGGAGCCTGTGCCCTGCAAGCTGCCGTCAAACCTATGAAAGATAAAATTTAAAAAATAATGAATTATAGTAATAATAACACGATTATTATGAAACTGCTTAAGTAAAATAATCATTATTTAATAAGTAGATGAGGAAAGAGATAGCTTGTTTGTGTCAACAAGAAGGAAAGGCTTCTAGATCAAATTCCGCCAGGTAATATGATATAGACACATCAAAGACATTTTCCTGCTAAATGAGAAGCTCTAGAGTGACTCTATGGCTGCAGGTTAGCTTTATAATGGCTGCTTTTAAATGAGACTGACAATTAAAACAATCCAAAGAATGTAATAAAATGACAAATTTAATAAGAAAAAAGTGTCAAGTGTTGGGCTGCTCTTCTTTAGAAAGCACCAAAGGGCCAATCAACAGTTTATACTACTAAAATATAGCATGGTATACTCAAGAGTAAAGCTACCTCATTATTTACTCTTATACTGGATCAAACACACTACTACTATTTCCTGTGTTATAATAGTAGCCCACTGTACCCAATGGGAAGATTATATGAATTAGATCTTGAATAGTAAAGTGTTGGGTTAGATCATTATATGAAGCTATCATGAAGTTAAGTAGAATCCCACAATGTAAGCATGAAGTCAGATAGACTTCAAGGCTATAGTCATGGTGCTTCTACTTTATCTTTCTAGTTGTTAATCATCAATTGCAGGTTTTGTTACAGTTTACTAATCGATGCCTGACCTGTTGGCTTGAATCCAATAGCTGCATATCCGGTTGAATTGACACGGAGTGCGATCTCAAGCATATCAGGCTGACCATTAGACTATAAAAAAACAACAACATATTAATAATTATAAAATAAATAAGTGCATATACGTAATTATATGCAACTGCTACTGTTTGATTAAATGAATGAATGGATTGTTATTAACTAACATTATTGAGTATCCTAGCCCAGAAATGAAGGTGCTCACCAAAGAGACGGTATATAGTATAAACACTAGGATCAATGGTGACATTAGTGAGTGAAGACACTAAGAGAAAAACAGTAAATACAATTACATCAAATAATAAACTTACCCATTGCACAACCAGCTCCAAACCTGCCTGGATTACAGAAGCATTGCTTCATTGGTCTGCTAGTACCACCAATATCAATACAAGAGCCACTAGAAGAGCCACCACAGTCAGTATCATCAACACATTCATCTATAGGAGAATAGAGGATCTACTTGTTGAAGAACAATATTGCATTCATACCTTTGTATTGGCAGAATTTTCCGGAATAAGTACGATTGCACATGCACATGCCGCCCCTGCAAATACCATTACCTCCACATCTGTTATTATCACAAACTATATTCAAAGAGATGCAAGATTTTAATTGAGATATTAATGACTAGCTTTCTTACGGGCGTTATCCTTAATCTCAATATCGGCACAAGTATAAAAGAAATAGCCGCCAGTTGCAGTCCATTCTCCAGCTTGTCTCAGTAATTGAAGGACGCAGCGATCACAAGTGAAATTATCTGGAAGCTGGACAGTGACATACTGTGTACTGAATAAAGATGAAAGAGAGAAGGAGGGAGAGGTGGGGTATAAAAATACAAAGGTAACTCGTCAAAATAAGGTAATATAAACTAATAATCTTAATTCAATATCTTTATAATTGATTCAATGTGGGAGTCATTAATTGCTAGACACATCCTTCTAGAGACTAAGGCAGTGACGATTGATGAGTCTAACATAATAGAATTACCATGACAATGTATGCTTTTGATACTATTAATAGAGCTCTTACAAAATTCAATAACAGCTACAAGCTGATATGCCAGGAGATGCATGCGAGGATCATGCATGGATGTTTACAGACACAGAAAGCAACATTCAAGTTACAAAGGACTTTTTAACAGCCAACAAAAGCAACCATTATATGCTTGTTATGGCTCAGCAAATCCCTTGATTATTTAAAAATGCATGTGAGGATCATGCATGGATGTTTACAGACACAGAAAGCAACATTCAAGTTACAAAGGACTTTTTAACAGCCAACAAAAGCAGCCATTATATGCTTGTTATGGTTCAGCAAATCCCTTGATTATTTAAAAGCGCTTGAGAAGATTATCAAATGTCATCAATACATTAGGTTATAACAACAAAAACACACTTTATAGCACAAACTGGAAGTCATGCAGGCTAAGCTGGCAAAGCAATAGCAACAGGCTTAAAATAATAATATTTTTAAATATAGATAAACAGTAGCAAATGTATAATTATTAAAGAATCAACTTCTAATCTTCAAAGCTTTCTAATTATGCATTTGTATGGTTTTTGGTATATCAACTGATTAGCAAAAGAACTTCATCTCTTTCAATTAGGCTGGTATCCATATAGTCCCCATACAACAGCCTTAAGGCTATCATACACAGGGCATTACATTGTTGCTTAAAACTTAGCTGGTTACTTTGATCTTTGTTGCTTCAAGTTTATCACTCCTCAACTGGAGGCAACAAAGATCAAAGTAACCACAAAGTTTAAAGCAACAATGCTGCCCTGTGTATGATAACACCTCTGCAACAATCATGGAGACAAATCAGGTCTATCTCTACAAAGAATTGTATTCTAACCACAGGTTACATACAACAGATGCGACTATTTTTGAAACTAGGCTTAGAGCTTTTGATGTTGTATATGATATGTTTATGTAACTACAAGAATCCATACATCTAGCTTGCACACAGGCACTGAGTTGGCCCGCCATCAAAATTGGGTGCTAGTTTACTTCTTCCTCCATGTACTACTTTCCGGTCAAGCATGCATCAATATTATACCACAACTCTTTCATTGATTGCAACTGACATGCAGTGAAAAATAAAGACACATGCAAATTGACAAGAAAGAGCTTGTTTTAAAAGTGCAAAGTACACGCAGTAGCGAGCTAATTTAAAAAAGCTCAAGCATTTAAGCAAGAATAGATAAATGACTTACGTGCTGTCATTAAGCTGGGTCCAATTGCTGTAGAGAGCTTCTATCAAGCTGCCATTGACAGCAAGAATGTTTACAAGCACTCCACCCTAAAAAAGTAAGCAGTACTAGTAGTTAAAGACACATTAAGAAGGAATGCAATTAGCAAAGCATGCAGATGGAATTAATAAAAGCCTAAGCGTGTTTCTTTACCCTGTGTGGATATGCAAGATGAAAAGTGGCATTAAATTCAGCTCCAGTGGCAAAGGTAGTCACCATAGCATCATCACCAAGATCTAGAGAATATATTTAAATAAAAAGACATGACTAACTTGTACTTGTATCTATACCTGGTACACCGCAAGGACCCCCAGTCCTCACGTTGTCGAGAAAGTCATACCCTGGCCTGCGGGCTGGAGGAAAAGTGAGGGAGACGTGGCAGGAGCCAAGAGATATGAAAGCACAAAAGAGAAGACCAATAAATAGCTTCGTCATCTTTCTCTCTTTGGAAGGGAGAGGGCGCCAAGGCAGAGCTCTCCTTTCTATCTTTATAGACCTCTTCAGGTGAGATTGACGGTGGCCTATGAATATTATTACTGTCCATTACGGTATCCACCTACGGTGATAATTGGCCGCCATTTTGGACGGCAAGATTCAATGGAGGATGAACGAAGAAAGGCAAAACTGACTCTTTTCGTTGGCATGGAGCTTTTTCAAGCTACAAAAGCTGGTTGGAGGAAAGAATGGTCACTGCTAAGCATCTCCTAAAAGAGATTTGGTGCAATATGAAGCATATTCTTTAATAGAGCTTGCTTTCTGCATTAGCCCATTCATACTCCATAGAAAGTTGCCGTCCACGAAAATTATTTCAGAGTCAGCCAGGCCATAGATTGTATTAGTAATACAATCTATGGCCAGGCTCAGTCACGCCCCTTGCCGTATATCATTCTTTGACGTAATTCATTCTCACCCAAAGAGGTCTATAGCTAATGAGCGAATGATGATGACACTCCCATTTCCCATAGAGTCTACCTAATTCAAATTTGCAGCTGCTAACAGGACAATTCAATAATTCTTAATTAATACACACAAACAAATTTAATGCTATGATCTAAAATTGTAATTAAAGTTATAGAGAACTATTCATTTATTCTTTAAAAGCTACATGTACAGGTCAGCGACAGATGAAATCTTTTATTAGCCTTGGTAGAGCCTCTGGATTATGTGAGGGTTGGCGATGAGAGTGCTGGGTAGCGTCACGCTCATCATCTCTCATGAGCCTCTCTCTTTCCAATTCACTCAGTTGCTGCTCAAACAAAAGCTGGAGGTACTCAAACAGCTGCAAGTCTTGAAACCTCTCGCTCCAATGACGGACGTGCTGGAGTAGATGTGCTATGAGCTCTTCAGAGCAGAGAGACCGAAAGAGCATGTTGAAATGAGCTATATTTATGCAGTAGAGTACCAGATTGCTGCTCTCTGCATGCAGTGTGAACAATTGGTACTTCAAATCGCACATTGACTCTATCCCATTCACAATCCCTCCATTGGTTAATACACATATAGGGGTCTCCCTCAATAGGTTTGGTTGCTTTATTCGATAGCGTCTCAGAACAGCCTCTTTCTCTCCTTGATAGTCTCGTTTCTCTTTCCGCTTGCGAGGAACCACCTTGGGTTTCTTAGAATGATTTGGCTTGGTCTCCAGTTTAAGTATTTGCGCCACCAGACCCATCGGTGGATGGATTTTAGAAGTAATCTCGGATAAGTTAACCCGATCAGTGTTCAAACTCAGCTTAAGCAAACCTTCCTTTACGAGATAAATGCAAGATACTGGAGAGCCTTGAGTAGCAACCACTTCCCCGAGTGAATATTTCTTTTCTCTTATGACGCTGCAAAGACAAGAAAGGTACTGTATCTCCCAAGAATGGATCATGGGGTAGCGCGATATTAAGAAGGATGCTTTCTCAATCAGTGAAGATATGAAATAGTCTTGCAGTAGCTGCTGGAATGTTATTTTGTGCACAAGAAGGACTTCTGTGTATTGGTTGGTCACGAAGGTGAAAGGGGATTTATTGAGATCGGACGGAGAGAGACAACAAAGCTCGCCAAAACATTGCCCAGGTTTTATCACGTCTATTTCAGTCCCGTATCCTCTAAGCCTCTTTTTACTGGCTGCCGTTTTCAGTGGTTTTGCACTAGAACTGCCTCCAGAAGTGGCAGCTGCTACTGCTAGTGATGCAGCAGCGGACGTATCACTGAGACTCAGATCAGACTCGGGATCAAGATAGACCGAGATAGAACCGCGAAGGAGAATGTAAAACCTACACGATGAGAGAGGATGGGTGAGAGAGAGCGAAAGAAAGGGGAAAAAGATTAAAGAGTTCAATTGATAATTAGTAACAAACATGGAAAGAAATTAGATGACAAGAGGTTAATCAAACATAATTTGTGTAGCCACATGTAAGTATACACAAACTAAAAGGAATTGGAAGCATGGGTCTAATGATATCAGTACAGACTAAACACAACAATGTAATAGAGAGCAGGAAATCAAGTCATGCAGGGTAGACTATACAGCTTTTTATTTACTTGTCAATGCATTCGTCTTGAAGCCAGAGGACCGTCTTTGGCTCATGTGCCTCCCTAACTCCGTCCCATGATAGACTTTGTAATGCATCTATACAAACGATATTTAATAATTGTGAATTCCACGCTAGATCACTCTTTATACACTCAGCAGATAAGAAAATTGACTAAAGTAGTAATAGACTAGTGTAACTTTATGAATGAGTGGGTGAAAGTACAACAGAGCACTCGCAAGTACATGCAAGTATAGTCTCTTTATTAAAGATATGCCCACACTACCTGTCCTTAATACATGTACAGTGTAGCCTCTTTATTAAGGACACCATTGGGCCCACACTACCTGTCCTTAATACATGTACAGTGTAGCCTCTTTACTAAGGACACCATTGGGCCCAAACTACCTGTCCTTAATACATGTACAGTGTAGCCTCTTTATTAAGGACACCATTGGGCCCACACTACCTATCCTTAATACAGAAGTGTCCTCATTTCAGAGGTACTTTTGTATAGGCTTGTATCAATTGGGACATCACAAAATGTCCTCATTATAAAGGTGTCCTCATTATAAAGCTAGCCATAAAGGTTTCTGCTATCAATACAATGATGTATTATATTCTCAGAACTAATAATAATTAGCTCACATTCTTATTACCTGTACTAATGTTGCTATGGAAAAGAAATGGCTTCAGCTTTGTCAGCTCATCATAAAGTTCCTTAGCTTTTGCAGGACCATTGTTCAACGAACCACCCAGTTGCAGGTGAATCTGGACCTTCTTAATAATAGGCTTTAGTGCTGCCATAACTAAGGACTGATATCTTTTATCTCAAGTATTTCTTTCTTGCTGTATCCTGTAGCTGTATACCGAGCTACTTCTTCTTCAGTTCTTATTAGAAGACAGTTTAACACTTACCATTTTAAGTAGCAGTTACATTAACAATATGGAGTTGTTAATAAAATATAAGAGAATGGAAGGTTGTGCAATATAGCTAGTACTGGCACCAATCAATTATTCATTAATGATACATACCTGTCGCTACCTTTTATGGTCAAGACTATAGCAGAAATGTGCTATTATATTACACAGAACTATAAATATTATGAGTAATAATAGTGACAACTAGAAATACTATAATACCTTCTTAGTTAAAGACAATACAGGACTAAGCATACAGTAGGGCCAGCTTAAAGCAATTAGCAGTCATGACTTGAATTAAAGGGGGGGAAGGAATACAGTCTGGAAGCTAGCATAGCTAGCAGGATCATCAGCCATTATGTCTTAGACAACAAACAAGGAAGCTTGCTAAAATAAGGAATGTCTAATCAGCATAGACCATGATAGATCAGGACTACTGAGCTTGTTAGAAGTATTGGCTCTTAGTCGGCAGCGAAGCAACAGGAAGTCTATATAAATTGTGTATAAACCTTTATCGGTCAATGAGAAACTGCGTGGGTGGGTGGTAGCGTAGAAGCCGTAGATAGACACATATATAGATAGAATCAGATAACTATCACTAGCAGGTGATTTACAACAATTAGAGATAAAGTGCTTGATCAATAGAGTGCATCGTTTATGACAACAGCAAAGCTATGCTCTTTTTCAGGGAACTTACAGCTAATTCTGAGAATATAATTCTATTCCTTAGAAAAATATTCCCTACACAAGCAAGACTACAATTACCTTGTAAAGAGATATATACCTTTTAAATATATACCACATACCAAAATTTTATGAGTGTATGTTATATTTAGTAAAAGACACGTTGATACATTTGATGGTACAGACTGACTGACTGCTTTCATTGAAAGTTAACAAGCATAGCCAAACTGAGAAATAGGAGGATCATAAACAACTGAACTGTTGAGTTTATGACTGAAAAAGGACATAGTCTGCTTCTCTCTCACAATTATCTCAGTTTGACTCTTATAAGGAAAATAAATATATTAAATCATCAAGCAGTATGTGTGTGTGTGTGCTTAGTGTCAGTTATACCATCACTGCTCTATATAAAGAGCTCAGTTTAACGAGAAATGTACTCACTAGGCAACACATGCCTTCATACTTAAACTAATGGATAAGATAAAGGGTTAAAAATTCGCATTTCAGTATATCTCCGCATACTCTAAACACATGGTCTATCAATCTATGAATAAGTTAATTTTTTTAAAGTAGTAAAAATTACTAATAAATAAGTATTTGTGCACTTTGATAATAATATACTTTTCTTTGTGAGATGCAAAACAGAACAACAAATAGAGAGTAGTTAGGGGGAGGAGTTAGCCACGCCCACACATCACAAACAAGGAGACAGAGACAAATTGTGTTCATGTAAAGGAGTCCTCATTGGGACCTGTTTCACAGGACCTAAGATTAAATGAGACATTTAAATTTGATCGCAAAGTGCAGCTGGATAATAAATTATTCAGTTCATACTTTCTGCAGAGCATAAGGACATCAATATGTATCAAAAATGTAATAAAATTGGGGGTCATTTTTTAGTCATTTTTTGGAAAAAAACCATGGGCTATAGCCTTGGGTATTTTTCAAAACTGGCCTATTTTTAAAATGGTCATAACTCAACAATTTCTTGTCAAAATCAGCTCAAACTTGCTACACAGCATGGAGACTTTAATATGTATCAAAAAATGTAATAAAAATTGGGGGTCATTTTTTAGTCATTTTTTTGGAAAAAACCATGGGCTATAGCCTTGGGTATTTTTCAAATTTTGGGCGTTTTCTTAAAATGGCCGTAACTTGAAAAATTGAAGTCGGAATCAACTCAAACTTTCTACACAGCACAAGGACATCAATATGTATTTTAAAATGTAATAAAAATGGGGGGTCATTTTTTAGTCATTTTTTGGAAAAAACCATGGGCTATAGCCTTGGGTATTGTTTAGAATTTTGGCGTTTCCTTAAAATGGTTGTAACTTAAAAAATTGAGGTCGGAATCAGCTCAAACTTTCTATACAGCATAAGGACATCAATAAGTATCAAAAAATGTAATAAAAATTTGGGGTGATTTCGGAGCCATTTTTTGGAAAAAACCATGGGCTATAGCCTTGGGTATTGTTTAGAATTTTGGCGTTTTCTTAAAATGAACATAACTTGAAAAATTGAGGTCAGAATCAGCTCAAACTTTCTACACAGCATAAGGACATCAATATGTATCAGAAAATGTAGGTACATACTTTTAAAATTCAACTTTGCTTTGAAATAATTCTTCTTCCTGACTAGCTCAGGAGCAAATGGAGATTTCTCATAGCGACCAGTGGGTGTGGCCATCACCGAAGACAACTTAAGACGAGACGGTAAAAGAGAATGAGGAAGAGGAGGAACAGGAGAAGAACCAGCGGAAGTTACAGGCGTGGTCCTAGCAGGAACGGACATATCTGAAACCCCCACACCAGAATCGATTGTACCGGACACGGAATTAAAAATAGGTGGGGCAACCCCACCCTTAGCACCCTCCAGCATCGTCGAGTGTATATTTGGCTGCCAAGATGAGGATACACCTGATGTAAGAACTCTATCGACAGTCTCTTCAAGTGCGAGGTTTTTAAAATATGTCGAACAAGTGCTGTGAGGTAGGGAAGTAGAGGAGGAGGAGGGAAAAACCGCACTGTCGTCATTTTCCGATTGGAGGTCCGAGAGATGGAGGAGAGAGGGGGGAACGAGGGGATCAGTGGCCGGGGGTAAGAGGGGTACATCAGGGGAGGCTGGACTATGGTAGATACACTGCTGTTTATAGACAGGACTGCCTCTAGGGGACATGACACGTCTTTTAACTGAAGGAAAGAATTAGGACCCAGTCATATTAAAATTTAATAATAAAAATTGTAATCAATGAAATTTATACAAAAGCTAAAAAATATTAACTTGCAAAATAATAAAATTACGGTAGCACAAACTGTACTTGTACATGTATAATACATTAAGATATAGGATATACCTACGTACTTAGTTTAGACTGCACTATAGGAGATGATTCATCGTTGCCTTCATCGGCTGTACTACAAGTATATGAGCCGTTTAATTCATTATTAAGAGCCACACCCACACTATCACCAGCTGTATCGGCACCACCACTAGTACAAGTAGCGGTTGCAGAAGAAAGAATTGGAGATAAAGGCGGAGAGATAGGTGGGGCAGACGAAAGACCACTCCCATTTCTCTTATCAGTCATTATAGGAGATAACTGAAGACCATCGCCGCTTTTAATCGGAGAAAGAAGTGGGGAAGAACCTTTTTCTAGAAAGGACGAGGATAGAGGAGGAGGAGTTGCACCTTCAGACGATAATTTTGTAATGAAGACGGCTGGGGAGAGCGGCGAGGAGCGAAGGGGTGTCGATGATAACCTAAAATGGGCGTGGTAACCACACCCACCACAACGAGGCTTACTGTGTGTCATGAGTTTTTGGTTCTATGTAAGAGTTGTCTCGTGACGTTTGACTGCTCTCGCTCTCTCTCTGAGGGTGACCAAAGAGTTTCCTTCGAAGAGTGAAGCTGTTGTCCTCTCCAGTGTAGTACTCTTGACCTAAAGGAGGGAAATGATGATAGTAGCAGGTGGGGTTTCTTCGGCATTATAGTTCTCACCTAATATCTTCTCTAGATCTAAATCCACTGGTAAAGTAAGGCATGTCTGAGTAGAAGCTAAAAATAGTAATAAATAAACAATTAAATAAATAAATAAATAAATAAATATGAGCATTAAAATATGTATGTATTATGTATGTGTATGTAATAATGTGAATTTTTCTTTTAAAAATTGAATAATTTGAATAATACTTTTGGAAAACTTTCCTTACCATCAACTTTCTTAGTATCTTCATCATTGTAATCTGTATATGGGGGAGAGAGGGAGGGGTAAGACCCTATTAATTAATGAATTAATGAGACTCACAGGAGGTAGTGGGAGGCAATGGGGAGAAGGTGACGTGTTTAGCTTTAGCAATGGGACCATTCCCTCCACCCGTCCATGGAGAAGGAAGAATGTTCCTTTGAGAAAAATACTAAAGAAAACAACAATTATTTTTAAATCACATAATCAGTGATTGATGTCACGTGATCATTGATTGATGTCACATGATCAGTGATTGATGTCATATGATATACATGTACATACAATACATAATTAATTAGCGACTAGCGGAATTTGTGTGCTGTGATTCTGTTTATATTAAACTGATGACATTCAAAAGGTATAACAATACTCAAGAAATAATTGTTTGTATCTCTATTAATACTAATTGTTAACAAGATAAAAGCAAGGCAATAAAGATGACACATCATGTGTTAATATAGTTTAAATACAACCAACACTGTGTAACGGGTAATTCTGGAGTGGAGCTAAATTTCGGGGAATCGGTTGTTAAAATTATGTAGTGATTGCCAGTTTTTAATTTAGCAAATATGAGACAATGTATTGATGTGCTGTATATGGTTAAAAATGATAGGGTTTATCAAGAGTTGGTAATTATCTTTAATTGTCAAATTTGTAGAGCATTATATTTCTCCTTCCTCTCTTCTCTCTCTCTCTTTCCCCTCTCCCCCTCTCTCTCTCTCTCACCTCGTCAGCCTTCTTCTGTGCCACAGGATTATCATGGGGGCTAAAAGTAGGAGGGGCAAGAGGAGAAGTTAAGATAATAATAATAATAACACCAAAACCGTACAATTATAATATTATACCTCATTACATTGGTGATAGCTAGAGAGGCAGGACTAGTTGCTATGTCAACCGGTTTCTACAAAAAAGAAGGAAAATTAGACGCCTCCTAATTAATGAAAAAACTAACAAGTTTCGCCATTTGATCTATCGACCAGTGGAAAGTCTTCTTTTGCTAAAAAAAGAAAAATAGAGATTTTAAATAAATACAGGCGCAATGTAAACCCCGTTTAATAATAGGGGGGCTGTGAAACTCTCCATTACTTTTAAATTTGACGGAGTACTAGAGTTCTTTGAAAAGAGAGGACTCCACTCGGGGAAGTTCTCCCTCTCTTCTGATGTGAACGGGTTGATCCCGCCATTGGTGGTAGCCCCCGAAGACATCATCCTACTATTAAATGAATGGAGGGAGAGAGAGAGTGAGAGGGTCTTTGGGGAGTTTGATGGAACTGATGGAACTGTCTCTGGTCGTTCAAATTTCAAATCTCCACCTTCTTCATTTGAAAATACCCACGCAAAATTTAAATTTCCCGGCGAAAAAGGCGGGGCACTTCCTTCATTCCGATCATTGTTCCCGGGAATATTGCCGCGCCTACTCATTCCAATGCAATTCCGCATTCCAGTGATTCCACCAGCAGCACTCCTTTCTCTCCCACCAGAATAAGCGAGGCTAGACTGAGAGCTTACTACGTAGCACTGTACAAAAAGAAAAGAGCAACGAAAAAGCTGAAGTGAAAACCAGTAAGCCTTAGCTATTGAAACATACCAAAAGAATATCTATTTTTTAAATAATAATTGTTAGTTTATAATAATTATCACATTTTTGTTGTTTATAGACATGCCTCGTTCCTGGGGACTATTCCTAGCTCTTCTCTGCATTATAAGCCACTCCACAGCGCAGGGTAAGTCCAGCATACAGACTAATGCACATATCCTGTATCATTGTGACAAACAAGATGACTGATAGTTGACACCATGTGTGGACAGCATTCCACTATGATAGAGTACAACTATACATTAATCCAACCATTACTCAACAACATGACATTGTACACAACTCCAGTATAGGTGACTATATCATAAATTAGATTACAGACTAATTCACTTATTTATACATTTTCCTTCTAATAACAGCACAGACAGTACTTGCTCTAATTGGACCACAGATATGATTGTACCCAGTATCATGTTACTAATTTGTGTACATAGACAAGGCAATATTTCAATATTGTATACATGGAATGACAATTAATCTCTCTGCTTATTTTTTCACTCCTCTCTCTCTCTTTCTCTCTCTCTCTCTCTCTCTCCCTTCTCCTTTTCTTTTTCTTCTTTAAAGATTGTGAAAGTTTGGTTACATGCACTGACTGCATAACCAAGAATTCCTCCTGTTCGTGGTGCAATGACCCAGTAAGTATCACTATAGTATTGCATATCTTCCTACAGCTAATGCATTGCAGACCATTCATCTATAATAATTGATCACTAATGAATGATGCTAAATTGTTTATTTATTGTATAGAGTGTTTTTAATCGGTTGGCGTCTCAGTTCAATAGTCAGTTGGAGCCAATTGGTTTATGTCGAAGAGCTGACTTGCTTTCTTCATCTCTTGGAGGCTGCAGCAATGTAGTTAATCCAATGGGAACAATAGATAAGGTAATATGAAAGGAATAGAACAAAAGGAACTACATCTCTTATTCATTTAACACCTTTCCTTCAATTCTATCCTCTCTTTCTTTCTTTCGTTCTCTCTCTCCCCCTCTCTCTCCCTCTCTCTGTCTCTTTAAAGGAAGATACACTAAATTCTTCTGATCCAACAGTTACTCCTCAGCTTGTCTCCCTTTCCTTGAGGCCAGGGCTCCCTCAATCTTTTAACATCAGTGTCTCTCCTCCCAGCTCAATATCAGTAGACATGTACATACTAATGGACCTCTCATTCACTATGAGAGATGATCTTCAAAACTTGAGGATGTTCTCAGATGAGCTAGGTAAGGAGAAAAGCACAAATAATTATTATAATTTGCTATTTTTATTTTATTTTATGATAAATTTACTATTCATTCTATGTGTTTACAGTGAGGCAGATGCAGAATCTTACTGATGAGTTTAGGATTGGTTTTGGCTCATTCATTGATAAGCCAGTCTCGCCTTTCATTGACAGAAAGTATGTATAAAAAAAAATAAAAAAAAAATAATAATAATAATAATAATAATATTTTAATAGTAAGGTAAATACACTATTATTTCTTGGCAGGAGTATTATTTGGCTGTGATAATTAATTCTTGGATGACAGTCAGCAATTTTATCTCACGTATCATTGAGCAACGCTCACATTAAAATTAAATAGTGAAATTCATAAAACCATCAGCCACCAATAATATTAAATCCCCACGAATGAATCACCTAGTTCAGCTAATACCAATTATAACACTCATTGTCATTGAATTCAATATCTCTACCTTCTCCTTCTTTTAGTACTAATTTCTCCTGTGCTGCTGATTATCCAGCAGTGGCTGAGAATGATTGTGAATATACTTACGCCTTTAGGCATCGACTGGACTTAACTGACAACGTTGATACCTTTAAAGTAAACAAATTATTATCAATAAACAACAACAACAACAACAACAACAATGGCACCCAAGCAAAAAAGCAAAAATAAAAACGATAATAATAATTCTTGTTCTTTTATAGACTGAACTGGCTAATGCTAAAATCTCTGGTAGTGTTGATCAACCGGAAGCACTGCTGGATGCTTTATTGCAAGTAGCAGCCTGTCAGGTACTAATGAATATTCATTATTATTATTATTCTAAGAAAGACACAAAACAGGCAAAAGGGGGACAAAAAGGGAGGACCCTGTACATAGAAAGAAAAAAGAAACAATTATTATTATTATTATTATTTATTATTATTATTATTATTATTATTATTGTTGTTGTTGTTGTTGTTGTTGTTGTTGTTGTTACAGAGTGAGATTGGTTGGCGAGATGTCGAAGATGCTCGTAGGCTAGTACTGGTACTGACTGATGGGGACTATCATATGGCACTTGACGGCAAAGTATTTAAATACATTCATATATTAGTATATTTATATATTTATAATGTTTGTAATATTTTCTTTTTTTTTCCAATAGTTAGCTGGTCTGCGTGAGCAACCTGATGGTAAATGTCATTTAGATCCAACAACAAAGATCTATAATCAAGCATCACTAGTGGTAGGAGACGAGGGAGAGAGAGAGAGAGAGAGAAATATAAAATTACATTCTTCTGATGTTTACTATTCATTCCATTGAAATTGGTGCCAAACATTAGTGACAACAACTGAAGCTTCACAAATGAACTACGCAATACACGACTAGTCTACTACTATGTACTTTAATAATATTACAGAACAAGAATGCATAATACAATAATAGTAATATAATTAGTATGTTTATAGTTAGGTATTTCATATACAGTATAGTAGTCTCTTTTAATGGACACTCTCTATAGTGTACACCTCCATTTAACGGACAGGACCTAGTGTACCAATTACATTCCTTACTGTATAAAATAACCTCCACATAAAGGACACCTCTGTATAACAGAGACACTTTTAAAGTGTCCATTATATAGAGGCTACACTGTATACTTATTGCAAGTTTATACAATCATTTCTTAATTAAAGGATTATCCCACTTCGACTATGATTGCTGAGATGTTAAACGATCAAAGGATCATCCCGATATTTGCAGTTGCTAAGAGTGTTACAGAGGTCTACAATCAACTAAGCGAGATTATTAGGAGTGCCTTCGTTGGAGAAATATCTGCAAATGCTGACAATTTATTGGAACTAATAAGGAACCAATATATAGTGGGTTACTATTTTTAGAATTGGAATATGACGTCATTCTATTTTTAGCAACTATCAAGCACAATAGTGCCAGTCATAAATGGACTGGACGCCATTCCAGAGCTAACAATGACTGCCATGCCCTTAAATAATTGGTAAATACATAAATATATTATTATCAATAACACCGATATAATGACACAAGTCTGTAAAATATTGCTATTATAAAAACACTGCTATACAGCACTTTAATTTTACAATTTTTTTGCTAAAATAATTCTCACAGATTTGCAATGTTAGTAATGTGTCCTTAATGGTGATTGAATATTTTGCAGACCTCTATGCGTGAAAACTGATCTAGTTTTTGCTCTTTGAATGTAAAGCATTATACAGTACACTGAAATCATGGAATCATAAAAATTTACATGTACATGTATGTTCACCTCTTTTCTCTCTTTCTCTCTCTCCCCCTCTCTCTTCCTCCAGTTCCAATGGCACCCTAATATCTGGTGATACGTGTACCAATGTGATGCACCCCAATACAGTCCAGTATGGGGTCAGTTTGGAATTAAGTTCAGATTATTGTAAGAGGAGTCTGACTGGTCGAGAGACTCATTTATTGAATATTCAGTTCATCGGGTTTGGTGATGTCATTGTTAATGTGTCCGGAATATGCTCTTGTGGATGTGAGAAGGAACAGGTAGGGTATAGTCAAGTTTTGCTTGCTTTTTCTAATGCCTTGCTAAATAATTTCCAATTTTTTATTACATTTTCTGATGTATATTGATGTTCTTATGCTATGTAGAAAGTTTGAGCTGATTCCGACAAATAATTTTTGAGTTATGAGCATTTTAAAACTAGCAAAAAAGCAAAGACTATTATAGAACTTTGGCTCAATTTTTGAGAAACTTGAAAAATTTGTAAAAAATCCAAACTTGATTGGAACAGCATAAGTACATGTATATGTATCAGAAAATGTAATAATTATTATTAATTATTATTATTATTATTATTATTATTATTATTATTATTATTATTATTAATTCCAGGTTACCAGTAGTCCAGTGTGCTCTAGTATCGGAACTTACGAGTGTTCCACTTGTATCTGCCCTAGCAACCGGTAAGCCCTTGTTCCCACTGTAACCATAACAACTGCCATCCCTAGAAACGGACCAATCTGCCAGTGTCCAGCAACAGCCGTAGGTGGAGGAGGATGCACGTAAGTTGGGTCTGGAACACATTAAAATTCATTCATTTTCGGACCCTATAGTACAAGCAGTAATAGTACAAAGATATGCAGTGGTAGGGGGTCCTGTGTTTGTAATAGATGTGAATGTAACAGAGCACCTAATGGACAAACATACCAGGTAAAAAATAATGATAAAAAGTCTTTTTTTAAAATAATATTTGAAAGGAAATATCAGCGCAATTAATTAATTAATGATATTAATTATTAATTTTATAGGGTCAATTTTGTGAGTGTGACCCCACCCTCTGCCCGTCAGGCGTACATGAAAGTGGGCGTGTCTTACCATGCTCCGGACACGGAGTGTGTGGGTGTGATGGTATCTGTAGGTGTGGTGAAGGTTTCTCAGGTGCCAACTGTGGATGTACTAGTGACACTGACTCATGCGTTGCACCTGCTAATAGAAACACAGTAAGAACAAGAAATAAAATATTAATTATAGAATAAAATAAAATATTAATAATAGAATAAAGTATACTAGTATCAAATAAACATATGCACTGATAAATTTAATGTTAGGTAGATGTATATGTACATATACATGTACATGTATGTACATGTATACATTACATAAGTATGCTATTACTGGTTGTGTATATTGTATATGCATCAATTGTTTTATTGCCTCTCTCTCTCTCTCTTAGGGAGAATTATGTTCAGGATCAGGCCAGTGTACTTGTGGTACTTGCTTGTGTTCAGATTATTCTGTTAGATTTGGTCTCTACTGTGAAGAATGCAGCGTAAGAAATAACTTATAACCTATACACATTAAATCTCTCTCTCTCTCTCTCTCTCTCTCTTGCTCTCTCTCTCTCTCTCTCTCTCTCTCTCTCTCTTTCTCTCTCTCTCTCTCTCTCTCTCTCTCTCTCTTACATGTTAAGGTTTGTGCCAGGTCCTGCTCGTTCCTCTCCAGCTGTGTCCGTTGTCACATTGAGCAGAATTGTCCCTCAAGCTGTAATCATGTGAGCATTGTATCACCTAACGAACACAATAATACTGATGAAGGTAATATAATAATAATAATAATAATAATAATAATAATAATAATAATAATAATAATAATAATAATAATAATTCCTAATTCTACAGTAGTACATTACCCAATAATTGTTCTATTCTCTATGTCCACTACATACCAATAATACCATTATACTAACGCTCTAAAAATATTAAAAAATGATAATTATAATTATTGTAAATGATGTACTAGCTGTTCACTTGCTAATTCCTCTCCTCCAGAACTAAGGACCTGCTCCATTACAGAGGACAACTGTGAGGTCACGTATCAAGTAGGAGTCTATGTCCTTGGAACCGAAAGGAATATAATGGTCATTTTTGATGAGACACAGAGTGACATTAACGACTGGAGTGGTAAGAAATACTGTGCACTATGAAATCCTAATTCTGCATATATTAATTTAATAATTAAAACAAATTTAGAAAGGGATTTGTACTCATTAAAAACAATAAAAATTAAATATTAATAATGTATCATTAATTTTAAAAATAAAACTGTTACAATAGTACATGCAGATCCAAATCTCATGCATCGAAGTCCTATTATGAATTTATTTTCTTTACTGTAGCTGGTTGTAGCTCCGCCTTTCCAATATTTGTCATTCCGCTAGTGGTTACAATAGGAATCATACTGCTGGCAATCATTGTAATAGCACTCTGGGTTGCAATGAAGTATCTGATTGTAAGAAAGATAGAAATAATATAATTATAGTGTCATTATTATCATTGTTACTTTATTTAGGAATATCTAGAGTTTAGGGCATGGAAGAAAAGCCAAGAGGACGAACTGTGGAACACTGTAAGAGAAAAAGAAGCATAGAGAGAGAAAGAAAGAAAGAAAAAATAATAATAACTTTAAAATTGGCAAAGCATCATTTTGGCAAATCTATTGTGCTAGTATGAAATCTGCATTTTAGCATACTCAGCAATATGTAGCTGTAAATTGTAACAGTACAGTAATACATGTAGTGCTCTAAAATAGCTTTCCACTATACATATACACAAGAGTACAGTATAACTGATGTAGTACATGTAGATGTATAATAATTTTTCTCTCTCTCTCTTTCCCAATAGAGTGGGGACAATCCGTTATTCGTTGATCCTACCACGAGTCACATTAATCCGAAATACAGGCCACGGACTACAGTCCAAGTGGTGGGCGGAGGAGATGACTAGACCTCATAACCTATAATTCTATATATTCAACTGATAGCATTTAAAAACTTTATATATCTGTACTGCATTTGTAGCCAATTCCTCATCAATCACAAATACTATTGATAATAATAGTAATAGAACAGCAGTGATAATACAGCTTTATAGAGTGCACCTCCATTTAAACCTATGCTACAGCTGCATCTTGCTATGGTGAAGTCTTACATGTACAAACAAGCTTGAAGTACTCGTGCTTAAAGTTCATTAACATGCCATTATTAATTTTACCAGAGGAGCACCACTGCGGGTTGCCATTTTACCAACCCTCCAATATCCATACAATACAATGTCTGAGAGCATTAATATGTAGGTACATATACAAAATAAAGGTATCACTGTATCCTGCTGGGATGAGTCACTAGTGGCTACTACTGCTAGTGATACTGATACTAATATCTATGCATTCTTTGTTAACCAATGCATATACATGTTTTCATGTTGTGTAGAAAGTTTGAGTGGATTCTGATCACAATTGGATTTTTTGTGAATTTTTAAAACTACAAATCTACCAATACATTGTCTGCATTCAGATCAGTAACGCGAGTTTAATAACTAGCCGCGCCTTTGAGTTGAGCTCACGTGATCTGGAGTAAGTTTTGACCAAATTTGGTCAAAAGTGAAAACTGCTGACTAACAGTGGGTGGAGCATAGATCTGACCAATCAGATTAGCGCGGTAAGGCCCTTTCCCGGGAAAGCCCCAGCGGGTATAAAACGAGCTGTTCTTCCTCTTTAGTCATTTCTGCCATTTTTTGGCACCAAAGGCTCAGTCTTCAAGAGCTCTCTCTCTCTCCTAGTCAAGAGATACTGCTACAGTTAGTCATGGCCACAGTCTCCTTCTTTCTCTCTCCTCCTCTCTCTCTCTCTCTTTCAATCCCTCCTCCATTTGTATTTTCTCTTTCTTTACAGGTTACCACCAGTTGGCTCAGTTTTCTTGTCTAAAAGGTCACATGGCGGGTTGTGACCTCTTCCTTCAATGGCTGCTATGGTTAGTCATGGCCACTCTCTCAATCACTCCTTCATTTGTATTTTTCTTTTCTTTACAGGTTACCAGCAGTTAGCCCTTCTTTTCTATACCCAGCAGCAATCTCCCTTTCTCTTCAGTTTCTTTCTCTCTTTCTCTCTCTCTCTAAAAGGTCATGGAGGATTGTGACCTCTTTCTTCAATGGCTGCTACCCCTGCTATGGTTAGCTATGCCACAATCTCCTTTTTTCCACTCTACCTTTTTCTTTATTATTATTTTGTTATTGTTGTCACTTATTTTTCATTTTACAGGATCCTGTGCTTTTATGCTACCACGTGCTTTTTAAAGTTCCCGCCATTTTTTCGGAGACCACGCCCACCCAATGACTAGTCTAATTAATTGGAGGAACAATGGATGTGATAGCAAGTGAGGATTTTGCTTTATTTAAGGGCCATGTACCTTAACATGATCCTGTACATGTAGTTATTATAGCAGCCATTAGTTGTTATAGCCTCATGTTTCTCACTAGTTGTTGTTGTTTACCATTAGATGTTGTTATAGCCTTTTTTCTATTAGTTGTTGCTTGTTGTACATGTTGTCTCCTCTCTATTGTTATTTGTTTTGATAGTGTATACTGCTCATGTTAACTTGTTTTCTTTTTATTTAATTTTAGGAGCTGAACTTCAAGGACATGTTTTAAGTCGACAGGACTCGTACGTTCCCGTCAAACCATTCAAGTCCGGAACGGTCAAAATCTCATGAAAGTTCAAAGGATTCATGGAAGAATTCACTTGGAAATATCGTAGGATGGATTCTCATGGATTAATCAGCGAGTCAATAGTTGTAATACTAGCTGGGCTGGCCGACCAGACCCAGCTAGTAACGCACTCATACAATCCTTGCATGTCATTATATGTATGTCCTCATTTGCATGCGTATAATACCATTAGGGAGGGGCTTGTTACACAAAACATCGCGCGTATGTTGTAATGTAAAGGACCCTATAGTGTAAGGACACTCCCCGTTCCTACCACCATGCCTGATATGCTTGTTGTAGTAGTCCCGTCATACACTAGGCAGTATGTTTCTGGTAATATTTGTGAGGGAGATGCTGTCAAGAATGGAAAGCTGGTGCATTGATTGCAGTAACACATTCTTGGGGGTGTGTGTGTGTGTGGGTTTGTACCCAACCCACATACACACCCTCATTAGTGTGTCCAGCTTTTCATTCTTGACAGGATCTTTCTCACGAGGTAATATTACTTGGGATATGTTGACTGGTGTGTGCTGGGATGTAGGAATTCCAATCATGTATTGCTAGTATAGTGTATGTGTGTGTATCAGGCATGGTCAACAGTTAGTCAAAACTGACTGCTGTTTGCAGTGTTCAAGAGAGGTCAGGTAGCTGCCAAAATACAGCATGCCTTCTTGTCGCTGTAGGTAAGAATGGTACACATATTTAATAAAAACGAGCCTGAAGATTGTAATAGCCTAATCGTCATCTACAACCATCTCCTTAATATTTTTAAAACAAGGGTTAGTTATCTCTTTTCCTTCTTTTCTATCTTTTCTTTATTCCTCTTTTCTTAATTCCCCTCTTATTTCTAATACTCCAATGCTACCTTTCCTCTTAAATAGCCAGTACTTGTACTCATAATTAATAATAGTACATGTAATTAAATACTATAATTAAATAATAAGTACATGTAATTAACTAATAATAGTACATGTACACTTAATTAATTAAATATACAGTACATGTACAATTAAATAGTACAGTACATGTACTTCAATATAATATTGTTGCTTCCTTCCTCTAGCTATAGCTCCTGAAGACATTAGCCTTTAAGAGAGAGGGAGGGAGGGAGGGAGGGAGAAAGAGTGAGAGAGAGAGGACAGTAGAGGATCATCTTAGAGAGAGAGAGAGAGGGAGGGAGAGAGAGGAGGAGGAGGAGCTGATGGACAGCAGTATCACTATATCATGAGTTGGTTATTGAGAGAGGAGAGGGAGGTAAAGAGTGTATTTGGGAAATTAACATGTTAGCTTGTTTTTATTTGATTCATAGGAGCTGTAAAGGTAGTGGGTTTCAAGTCCTCGTGAAGTCTTTGGTTTTTAAAGTCTTTGATGTGTTTGTGAAGTTTTTGAAGTCCAAATTGGATTGGATCATGGGAGAGCTAAGTTCTCTGGTGTGTGTGTGTTGGAGTACAGCATTACATTAAGATTTTGGAGCAAGTTGCTATTGTATTATTGTATTGCTATAGTTTGGACTGCCTCCATGCAGCTAGTAATACCTAATCTCTTACTTTATTATTATTATTATTGTCTGTAGCTGTAGCTGTGCATGTTATTGTTATTAGAGAATCCCTTACTGCTGTAGGGTCAATATGGTAGTAGGTAGGACTGTGTAGTTTTTATGTTACTGGTACTGTATTAATGGTCACAGGTTATAATGTAGGCAATATAGGATCACCCTAACCAATGTGTTACCAAATGGTTGTAAAATCCTATTTAATTGCAAATTTTGTTAGATTTTAACAGTCCTAAACATGACGTTAAACTGTTTCTAAGTTTAAGGTCCTAAGCAATAGACACTCGCATTTCATGGCGAGTATCTATTGTTAATTTATGGATGCACAATTTGCAATTAATAATTATTCTTGATTACATATTGTGTGGTAAATTGTGCATTAATATTACTCTTATTATGTTAAGGTTGTAGAGATTAATTACAATATATAGACAGTAATGGTAGGAGGTAGTAATAGGTCATTAGATAATGGTACACTATTAAGATAACTTGACTTACATTGTGTATACAATATAAGTTGTAGGTATAGGTAAATTATGGTATGGTATTAAGATAGGAATGTATTTGTATATAGCAAGGTTAATATGGTATAGGTATCATTGTGTCATGTTAAGGTTCATAGGTTAATGTAGGTATGAATGGTATGGTATCATAAGATGAGAATGTACTTTTATAGCAAGGTTAATATGGTATAGGTATCATTGTGTAATTTAAAGGTCATAGGTATAGTAGTAGAAATTAGAAGGGTAGAGGTTATATAGTGAAATTATAGTAGTAGAAATTGTAGGAAACATGTAGTGTTAGGTATACAGGTTATATAGTGTAGGTATAGTAGTAGAAATTATAGATAACATGTAGTTATACCTAGGATATAGGTTATAGTGTAGAAATTAGAAGGTAGTTATAGGTATAGTGTAGGTATAGTAGTAGAAATTAGGAAGCAGGTATAGTTGTATGGTATTGTATAGCTAGTAGAAATTAGAAGGTAGTTATAGTATAGAAATTAAGAAACAGGTAGTTGTAGGATACAGGTTATATAGTGTAGGTATAAGTTATAGATCTAGGTTTTATTATTTATTATTATTTTTTATAATTAAATTTATTATTTTTATTTATTTGTTATTTTATTATTATTTTTTTATGATTTAATAATATTATTTATTATTATTTATTATCATTTATTATTAGTATTTTTTTTACCTGGGGCCCCAGGTTTTTATAATTTTTGGGCAGCAATGTAGTGCCGCCTCCACGTGGCGTTGCCTGGGATCACTAGTGGCTACTGCTGCTAGTGATGCTAAGAGCACTACATACAAGAAGAGAAATAACAATACTAAAGGTAAGTATGCATCAGGATTTTAATATTATCATTGATAGGATCAAGCTGAAGTAAAGATGAAATATCAAGTGGAATGCTACTCAAGACTGAAGCTAGAGATTTATATACTAGTTTTTAATCTTTTTTTAAAAAAATAATTCTTTTAAATTTTAATTGCATGTATTTATATGGCGATTTGAACTGTCATTGCCTGTTCTACAGTTAATGCTGTGCAGTAATGCTAAATGAGCCACCAACACAGACACACCACTTTATAATGAGTGTACAGAATATTATGTTGTGTAGAAATTAAAATTAAAATTGTAATTTGTAAGGTTCCAAATTTATCTCAAGATGTGCATGTATATATCTGTAATAAGTTCAGTAAAAGTTACGACATTTGTCATTAAAAATAAAAATGATTATGAAGACTACACCAACTGCAATCCATAGGAAAGAAGGAAGTCACTCCAGTCTCCTAGCAGTGGTAGGGGCCAGACTTTATAAGCTCTTAGTTTTTTACATGACATGCATGCATTGCTTTCACAGATCATAGACATTAGTAAAATTTGAAATTCAAATTCAAATTTAAATTTCCACACAATTCTATTTACATAATAATAATAATAATAATAATAATAATAATAATTAACCACGATATCACAATCAATAATAAAAACAATTCTGTACACAAACAAATAATAATAATAATTGCTAGACAAACGAGCTAAAAATTAAAAGTTGTAAAGAAAGAGAAGTGAATGAATTAATGAGGTTTGAAAAAGAATAAGAAAATTGTCTAAAGGGCCGAGCCTTCTGTCACTACTTCCATTAATCAAATGGTCTACTACAACTCTACGACACTCTAAAAACAGCTGCTACCATGAGAGAGAGAGAGAGAGAGAGAGGAGGAGGAGGAGAGAGGACGAGGATGACGTTTTGAAGTTTAACGGATGTATGATGCCAATTCCAATGGAGTATCTGGTTTCTAAGAATGAGAGAGAAAGGAGGAGGAGGAGAGAGAGAGAGGATGGCATTTTGAATTTTAGCGGATGTATGATGCCATTTCCAATGGAGTATTTGGTTTCTAAAAGAGAGGGGGAGGGGAGAGAGATCAGTATCAAGTTAGTATCAAGAGTAGATGACTCACTTTTAATGATTTTGATTTAGTAAATGCGTTCCAGAACCTCAGTGTCTCGTCCCCAGCTCCAGTGACTATAGTCTGACCATCAGGAGACATTGCCTAATTAGAAAAAAAGAAAGAAAAAAATTATAAATACAAGTACAGCATGTGCAATGTACATCATATTTTAATAGTCTAGTGTAGCCTTTTAATAGTCTACTTGGTAATGGAAGAGATGCTTAGTTAGAATGTACATATATGTACATGTAGTTACACTATAAGCAATAATAATGTGATCCTTTCTCTCTTTCCTTTCTCCACCCCCTCTCCCCCCTCTCTCTCTCTCTTCCTCTCTCTCTCTCTCTCCCTCTCTCTCTCTCCCTCTCTCTCTCTCCCTCCCTCCCTCCCTCTCTCTCTCCACTCACCAGATACAAGACCCTTGTAGTGTGACCAGTTAGTTTAGCTATTTGAACCAGCGAGGGATACCGCCAGATTATGATCTGATTTTGAGAGTAGCCGTGAGTACTCACAAACTCGGAGGAAGAGTGAGACCAGGAGAGATTACATACCTGAGACCCAGTATCAACACTCTGGAGACACTGGCCGGTTAGTACATTCCAGAACCTGATGGTCCTGTCAGCTGTACCTCCGCCTGAGGCTAATAGTCCATGCTGGGGAAATAATGGATAAGAAGGATCAACCAATAATATTATTATTAATAATTAGCCATTTAATTTAGAAAGGTAGGTTTATAATTTAACGAACTACATGTAGGTTAATATAAAAAATAATTGGGCTACAATGCTGCAATTTTATTGGTCAATTGCAAGTAGGCGTGGTAGAATAATAATTAATAATAATTAATAATGGAGGTGTACAATATAGTTTTTAACTCTTTCTTCACTTACTTGATGTGGTGACCATGCAAGAGCCTTTACGGCTGCTTTATGATCCGATAGGCAATGAATGGGCGTGGTCGATGAATCATCCCATATGAATAACTAATGAGGCACAAATTTAATTAAAAATTAATTAAATAATTAATTCAAAAACTCACTTTATTATCGTTTCCTCCTGATGCCAGGTGCTGGTGATTAGGGGACCAGCGAAGTCCACAGACCTCCTGGGCGTGGCCTAACAGTCTCCTGGTGGGGAAGGCAGGTAGACGAGGGTCCCACTGTAATATCATGTTGTCACGACTACCACTGCACAATACATCACCACACCATGATAGAGAACCTGCAGGAGACAATGTAGCTTATGGTTCTTACCAAAAATGGGCCAGTTTTTGAAAAATACCCAAGGCTATAGCCCATGGTTTTTTCCAAAAAATTGACCCCCAATTTTTATTACATTTTCTGATACATATTGATGTACTTATGCTGTGTAGCAAATTTGAGCTGATTCCGACTTCAATTTTTCAAGTTACGGCCATTTAAAGGAAATACCCAAAATCTGAAAAAATCCCTGTACTATAGCCCATGGTTTTTTTTCCAAAAAATGACTAAAAATTGACCCCCAATTTTTATTACATTTTCTAATACATATGGATGTCCTTATACTGTGTAGAAAGTTTGAGTCGATCCCGACTTCAATTTTTCAAGTTACGGCCATTTTAAGAAAATGCCCAAAATCTGAAAAATACCCAAGGCTATAGCCCATGGTTTTTTCCAAAAAATGACTAAAAAATGACCCCCAATTTTTATTACATTTTCTGATACATATTGATGTCCTTATGCTGTGTAGAAAGTTTGAGTCAATTTCGACTTCAAATTTTAAAGTTATGGCCATTTTAAGAAAATTCCAAAAATCTGAAAAAACCATGGACTATCCAAAAAAACGGCTAAAAAATGACCCCCAATTTTTATTACATTTTCTGATACATATTGATGTCTTTATGCTATGTAGAAAGTTTGAGCTGATTCCAACAAATAATTTTCAAGTTATGACCATTTTAAAATCCACAATCCAATTATCATAATGCAATAAATGAACCATAAATTACAAGTACAAGTACAAGTGCATGTATGCAAGTATAATTCTCACCAACTCTTCCAGAGTGTCCACTAAGTGTGTGGGTCTGTTTCATATTAGCAGCGTCCCATATCTGTACGTAACCTTTATGAGTCCCTATGGCCAAATGGTGTCCTTTCTCAGACCAAGAGACCGACGTGACGGTATTTCGATCGTCATCAAGATCACAGAGTTTCGATACCTAATGAAAAAAAATGAGTGAGAAAAATATGAAGTAATTCCTAAACTTGCTAAAATTAGTACAAAAATTAAATTATATAGGTATACCTATAAAATATATTAAAAGCATATACAAATACATATAATTAGAAGTACATGTACATGTATATTAAAAATTCCTTTATTGCAAAAATTTGCTAAAACTAGCATACAAAAATTAAACTATAGGTACATTAAATGCACATAATTATAAATATATCCAAAAAATTAAACTACACAGGTATCTATAAAATACATTAAGTACACACATACATGTACCTTTATTAAGAAGTACATGTATACAGAAGTCCCTACCTGACAAGTTGATGCATTCCATAGGTAGACGGTCGACCCTAGTCCGACTGAGAGTACGTTTAATGAAGACCAGTCTAACAGGTTGAGGTAGTAGTCGTCCTGAAGGTCCGGGGCATCAAGGACTTTGAAGGGAGCCTTAGGGATCTTACGAGAGGCTCTCCTCGGGGAGACTAGCATCTTAGCACTGTAACGGATGAATAAATAAATAATAATAATAAACTTGTAATTATAGTAATAAATAAATAAATAAAATAAGAATAATAATTAATAAAAATACAATAATAAACACGGATGTAATAATTATAGTAATAAATAATTAAATAAACAAATAAATAAATAAATTAACACAATAAATGAATCATAGTAAATATTGATATATGTATAATAATTATGTTTATATTAACTGCTATAGATTCATCTACACATACATACAGTACATAGTACATAATACAGTATTGAGATACGTATATATAGTATACCCACAACTGATACATAAAAGGTAATGAAACTGCCAAAAGAACACACACAGAAGCCAAAGACAGTCTACAACACACTAGCTAGACCACAGACACATAATGTCTATACAGTAGAGTAGTATGTGTAGACACAAGTCGCTGGGAAAGAGATCATAAAATTACAATGTTCAATATATATTGTATGTGTAGTCTGGTTGATAATGATGCCTATAATGGGGTGATTGGGTGCCCTAATCTTATTATTGTAATAATTATAGATAAGACCTACAATTACCTTACTACCACTAGAAAATGAATAAAATGAATTCACTGATAATTGTACAAATTTATACTAATTCATAAACAAATTGGAGGGGGGGGACCCTATATTATCAGGATTTTATCAGGATTGTAATTAGTAATTTTATAATAATAAATGTGTGTGTATCACTATTAAGTATTAGCATTAAATGTATAGGTACATGCAGTGTTACACATACAAAATAGATTTAGAAATAAATTTTGAGAGACCAATCTAACTAAAAATGGTAGGCTTAAGGTCAGATTCACCTCTGCCTATAGTTCCCCTAAACTCCCTCTAGAGCTAACAGCTAGTAAATGAGTAAAAGTTGTATGTGATAGTATTTAGTTGAAATAAGCTCAAGCTGCTCTTATGCCTGCTCGAACTTGCCCAGCTAATGATATTCATGGATGATGGTTCCTGTTTATAGTAAGGGAATTTGAAATTTGTATAAGTACTACTAGCCACAGTGTCCATCCTACACAAACTACACATTACAATTTGAATAAACCATAAAGTAGCCAGGTCATAGTACTGAGTACAAACTAGTATAGATCAAGTACATATACATGTAGCTCTATGATACATGATGTATAACTGGTGTAGCATGTTGGAGCTTGCCTTGGTAAGTTTAAAAAACAGCTTACGCAGCCACTACTGATACCATTCAATGATGAGCTATATTATGACTGCTGGAGTCTTACTCAGCAAAAACTAATTTACATCTACATCTACTACCAACTTGTAGCATAGTATGTACTTGTAATTCATATATTATATGCAGTAATTATCATTATTATTATTACTATTATTATTTATTTATTTATTCTTACGTTGCTGATGATATAGGTGAGACAGAGTAAGGACTAGAGACGTCAAATCTTTTATTAGGAGGAGTACAGTATTTGAAGAGATTCTCTGATAGAGGACTAGCTAAGGGATCACCTTTAGAACCGTGAGCATCCTTAAGAAAGATACAGGAGAAGAAAATAAATAAATAAATAAATAAATAAATAATATGTACATGTAACATATGAATACATGTATATATATTGTTGTTATAGATTTATACAAATAAATTTTGATTTTTAGGAGGCCAATCTCACTAAAAATGGTAGGGACTTAAGGACCCTAAGCTATAAATATGAGAGACAAAAATACTGTAATAATTAATGGAAGATTTTAGGAGCCCTATAGACCATGCAAGTAAGACAGAAGTCTCCTACTCCTCTTTGGATCTCAGGATGTAGCTGGATCATTAACTTACAGGTATTTCTGTGATGTTGGTCCCAAGGAGCTCATTCCTTAGTGCAGCTTCATATGCTAAAGCTTCAGGCTTTAATAAATCATTGTTATCTCTATTAAAATAAATAATAAATAATATACCGAAAAAGACATACAAAAATAAATATTGATAACAAAAAGGAATATAGCCTCTATATAATGGACACTTTGAAGTGTCTCTGTTATACAGAGGTGTCCTTTATGTGGAGGTTATTTTATACAGTAAGGAATGTAATTGGTACACTAGGTGCTGTCCGTTAAATGGAGGTGTACGCTATAGAGAGTGTCCATTAAGAGAGGCTGATATTCAAATTCCAGAGCTGCAATAAATTCTTTAAATTAAAGGGTCAATAGAAGTGTGTATGTAAGTATGAAAGGCTATCAAGAGGAGTTTATACAAGCTAGTCAATGCAAGCATTGGGACATGTGAGTCATCATTTGGAACTAACAGAAGATATGAAGTGCAGGCAAGCAAAGTAATGATAGATATGCTATTTTTATTAAGATAACAAGGAAATATGTGGATGAGAGAGAGGGGGGGAGAGAGAGAGGGGGAGAGAGAGGGGGGGGAGAGAGAGAGGGAGGGAGGAAGGGAGAGAGAGGGGGGGAGAGAGAGAGACAGAGACAGAGAGGAAAAAGGAAAGAGAGCTAAGGGGAGAAAAAGAGAGAGAGAGATGGGGGAAGAGATATATGAGAAAGAAAGAGAGAGGAGAGATATCCACAACAGGATAGTGATAGCTATACACAATTGAATACAACAGCTATCATAATGTCACCAGATAATGTCACACAATAGATGAGCATGTGTAGCAATGCATGTAAAGGGACGTTTCCTCAATAATAACAGTTAGTATTTATAGCCAAGAAATGATAAAGAAACAAACAGAGGCATATTATATAACAATTGACAGAGAGAAAGAGCAAAGACAATAACAAAAACATGTCACATGTACAGTTAAAGACACCTTTATTATGAGGACATTTTGAAATGTTCCATTTGGTACAAGCCTATACAAAAGTACCTTTGAAATGAGGACACCTCTGTATTAAGGACAGGTAGTGTGGGCCCAATGGTGTCCTTAATAAAGAGGCTACACTGTACATGTATTAAGGACAGATAGTGTGGGCCCAATGGTGTCCTTAATAAAGAGGCTACACTGTACATGTATTAAGGACAGGTAGTGTGGGCCCAATGGTGTCCTTAATAAAGAGGCTACACTGTACATGTATTAAGGACAGGTAGTGTGGGCCCAATGGTGTCCTTAATAAAGAGGCTACACTGTACATGTATTAAGGACAGGTAGTGTGGGCCCAATGGTGTCCTTAATAAAGAGGCTACACTGTACATGTACACGATATTCATACATTCAAACGCTACAAGTACACATGTATATTTACTATGAATACTAATAGGAGTGTAATAAGAGTAAAGTAAAGTTTTTGAAAATAGCCCAACCAGTAACCACACTGTAATTATATATGTGTATAGGGATTACATGCTTGAGAGTTCAAATCCCATGAATGAGTGATTACTGTAATACTATCATGTACAAAATCCCACACACACAAGTACCAATGTACATGTACAGAAAGGGAATGATAAAAGGTACATGTATACATGAATGTTAATGTAAATGTATGGTAATGTACTATAGTGTAGCCTCTTTATTAAGGACCACACTACCTGTCCTTAATACATGTACAGTGTAGCCTCTTTATTAAGGACCACACTACCTGTCCTTAATACATGTACAGTGTAGCCTCTTTATTAAGGACCACACTGCCTGTCCTTAATACATGTACAGTGTAGCCTCTTTATTAAGGACACCATTGGGCCCACACTACCTGTCCTTAATACATGTACAGTGTAGCCTCTTTATTAAGGACACCATTGGGCCCACACTACCTGTCCTTAATACATGTACAGTGTAGCCTCTTTATTAAGGACACCATTGGGCCCACACTACCTGTCCTTAATACAGAGGTGTCCTCATTTCAGAGGTACTTTTGTATAGGCTTGTACCAATTGGGACATTACAAAATGTCCTCATTATAAAGGTGTCCTCATTATAAAGGTGTATCCTTATTAACTGTATACATACATACGCATTGACACCTTTTCAATTCTATTGTTCAACTTACTTTGCCTTTGGAGTGTTCTGTGTCTTTGGCTGAAAAGAGAGAGGGAGGGAGGTGTATGTGGTAAGAGTTTGTGGCAAGGAGAAGGGCATAAAGAAAGAGAGAGAGAAAAAAAGGTGAATATATAATAAATATAAAACATGCAAAAATTGAACAAAATATGTACACGTTAATGTACAATAAAAAGTCCTATTTCTCCCTCCGTCCCTTTCCCCCCTCTCTCCTTCCCTCTCTCTCTCTCTCTTTCTCACCTTTGTTACTCCAAAGAGACATTTCTTTGCCAAACTTGATGAAGTTCTGCTGGGGATGAACCGATCGTAATAATGAGCTGCTTTTGGCTGAGGAGTGATGGGGTATGGAGAAGAGAGTAAACGTGATGGAGAAGGAGAAGCTGTAGTGTGAATGGGAGTTGAGATTGGAGACTAGAGAGAGAGAGAGGGGGAGAAAGAGAGGGGGGAAGAAAAGAGGGAGTGAGGAGGTGGTGGTGGGTGAGAGATAAAGAGAAAGAAGAGTAAAAGTAAAGTAGGTGCTATGTCAACCAGTGGTTGCCTGTACTAATAATACACAAATAGATCAATTGTACACGTATACGTGTAATGGAGGCCAGTACATAAGAAGTATCATTCTGTGGCACTAATTATATATACTTGTACAGTTTAAATTTGAATTCAAAACAAAAGGTTTTCCACCGTGAAAACAATAACAAAAACCCTGCTTCATAACTAAAGAGACTCTCTCACCAACCTTATGCATAGAAGAGTAAAGTCTGTCGGCGTACAGCGGATCCATTTTGATATCTGCTCTGTAGACAAGCGCTACTTTCTTCACTGCCTCTTTAAAGCTTGAAAAGTTTCCAACAGAGACTTAAGGAGGTCTGGAGTCCTTTTATATCCTTTGGGAAAAGGGAGTTGAGTGGGAGAGAGTGTAGAAATACTCTATAAACTGTCACAATGGCTATCCGACAAGGCCATGTTGCCACAACACATCACGTGTCACTATGGCAACAAAGTTAATTAAAATAGGTGTGGTCACCACACCTATTAATTAAATATTTTAATAACTATTAATAACCATTCTTGTACACGTGCTCAAACATGGAGAGTGAAGAAGAGAATTTTGAAGAAATTGAGGAAGAAAATGAGAGTGAAGAAGAAGATGAAGATGATGAAGTAGGAAACAACTTTAGTAAATTTTATTTACTTGACTTTTTTACAGCTAGAAGCTGCCATGGCTTCCACAACCTTGTATGACTATAAGAAAGGATTAGTGAGACCATTAGTACCTAAGAAAACCTTCATCAATGACATGGTAACATTTAATATTATTATAATTATTGTTAATTCTAGGATTGTACTGTATTACGATTACATTAGGCCGGTTATTAGTAGGATTATTAATATAAAAATAATTATATTATTTTTGTCCCCAATAGAGGATATGTGTGCTAAGTATATTCATTGCAAAATAAATGTATTCATTGCATACCGTAATAACTTTCAAGAAAAAAAATTAGTTCGTTGGACGTCAACTTTCCATTGGCAGCAATGGAGAAATGATAGAAAAAGGCTTGGTACCAGAAAACCGCTCTGCATTTCTTGATAGCAATCTTTCAGGTGACTACTAGACCCCATTAGATCCTCATGATGCTTTCTAAGCTTCCGAAAAAGGCCTCAAGAAGGTAGCAAGGCAAGAAAATGTGTTTTCCCCCATTGAACTCTTAATAAACTTGACGTCCAACATGGCGGCCAATTTACTGTGTGGGTGGATATACGGTACTAAAAAAACTATGAATATACTTAGCACGCATATCCTATTTTGATAGGGTTTTGTAGCAGCATATGCATGCTCAAAAATTGAAATCTTACCAAAATTTTATCTGCCAAATCTATTAGAGTTAATTCACAAAATTTTAGCACTCCGAATTTCCAGCTGTACTGTATCCTCGTTACAACTTCATTTAATTCTAGGCAGGTTTGAATCAAGGGAAGAAGGAGCTTGAAGAGAAGCATAGCAGCTGGTTGGAGAGGATGGATTTGAATAGCTCGGTAGTGACAATACAAAAGAAAAAAAACAGCACCAGTAGTGGAACCGGTTCAAAAAAGAAAGAGAGAGAGGCTAATAATGATGAACATGGAGATGAAGTGGATATTGAGAATGATTTCAGTAGGGAGATGCATTTGTAAGGAGATAAGGTTTCTTACCTCTTCTTTATGAACTCTCTCCCTCCCTCTCTCTCTCTCTTTTAGTGTGAGACAGGCACAGGCTAGTTTGCTGATTGGTTTAAGTAAACTAAAAGAGTTAGACATACCCACTGTTAGACCTGAAGATTATTTTGCTGAAATGATCAAAACCGACGACCACATGAGAAAAGTACTAGGAAAAGGGACCCTGGTTCAATCGATTATTAATTATATTTTAAAAGGTTAGAGAGAGATTGTTAAGTCGTCATAAGAGGATTGAAGCATCGGAAAAAGCAAAGAAATTACGAGATATGAAGAAGTATGGAAAAAAGGTATAGTACTGAAGAACATATGGATAAACTTGATCTCTCTCTCACTCTTTCTCTCTCTCTCTCTCTCTCTCTCCCTCTCTCTCTCCCTCTCCCTCTCTCTCTCTCTCTCTCTCTCTCCGTTTTAGGTTCAAGAGAATGTTCTTGATCAGAGGAGGAAGGAGAAGAAAGAGCTGCTTCAAAAAGTCAAGAAATACAGCAAAGGTCAGTGGTAGTGATACTCTTAGCAGTAGATGACCTGACTTCATTTCAGGAAAGGGCGAGAAACCAGAGTTCCTAAGAAGAGAGGACGACGAAGAGTTTCCAACGAAAGTCGTACCTTCGACACAGAGGAAAGAAAGGCGTGGCCCCATGAAATCAAAGAAACGATTGGCCAAAGTATAGCTTCAGAAAATGGGTGTGGCTAATGTAATAAAATTAATCTCTTTAATATTATTATTCGTAGGACAAGAAGTTTAGTTTTTCCAGTTTTAAGAAGGACAAGAGAAACACTGCTGAATCATCGGCAGATATGAGAATGTTCCCGTCATCTCGTACTGGTGGGCGTGGCCAAAATAAAAGTTTTGGAAAAGGGAAGGGCGGGAAAAAGGGAGGTGGTCCTAAGCCACGCCCAGGTAAATCAAACCGCGCCCGTCAAAAATTAAAGCGAAGGAACAGACATTGATAATTAATTATTATTACTGCACAAAAACAATTAATTAAATTAAAGATAATCATAATACAATAGAAAAGAGTTTATTTATACAGACAACGTTTAATATTATTATTATTGTTACATGTACAATAGTAGATAAAATGAATGTGAAATCTATTAGTTTTGCACACACACACAAACAGTTTAAAATGAAAACCCTATCACTCAGTACTTGTTGTTTCAGTGTGTGTCATAGAGTGATGAAGGATAGGAGTTGGTCTTGTTAGTGGTTTAGTCACTGCCGTGTAGCGACTGCTGCTCTTTCTGTTTCCAAAACGCGTCCATGAATTTAGTTATTTCGGAATGATTCCTTGGATGATGGAGTCTGGTATCATCTCTACGTGTAGCAACCTTTGGGAGAGAGGGAGAGAGAGGGGGGGGGAAGGAAGATATGTAGCAAGTTTGAGCTGATTCCAATCAAAATTGTATTTTTTATAAACTTTTAAAGCTACTCCAAAGTTGGGCCAAAGTCCCTGTACTGTATTACAGTGACTTTGGCCAAATTTTGTCCAAATTGAAAAGTAGAGAATTCTGCACTTTTATAATATTTTTGATACATATACATGTACTTATGTTGTGTAGAAAGTTTGAGTTGATTCTGATCAAAGATGTATTTTTTGCGAATTTTAAAAGTTACCCAAAAATTGGGCCATAGTCCCTGTAACCGACTATGGCCAAATTTCACCAAAAATGACAAGGAGAGAATTCTCTGATACATATACATGTATGTGTACATGTACATGTTTGCAAATATTATTAAAGACACTAACTAGTGGGTTAGTGTCCCAGCCAATCTCCTGTGCCTCTGTCTGCGGTACTGGATACTTCTCCTTCGGTAGCTGCTGAGACCTTCTGTAAACCTTGAGAAACTCACCTACAGAGAGAGAGAGGGAGGGAAAAAGAGGAAGCATTTTTACTACATCTTTGTCAACAAGGACTGCACAAAAGTTGTCAACTAATTATGAATATTTTGCACTCCAAGTTTTTGCATTTTTGGTTCGTGTCATAATACTACTCTTCTCCACTCTTAACAGTTGTGGTATAAGTTAACACAGTGACTTTTCACACAAAGGCTAGTGTGTTTTATTAGCAGTAGTTAACAGTGAAGAGTTTTTACGTGCGAAATACAGCTACTTTTTTTGACTATAGCCTCTTATGGATTATTATCATAGTTGAATTGACATTATCAGGTTATTGTGATTAATTCTTTGTTAGTGCGTCTGTGTTTTTCTATTTAGTGGTCTGTTTTGTCTTACTGTCTTCCTCTCCATCTCCTGAGTCATGTATCGAGTTGGGTTTACCTGATAGAGCATGCACTAAAAAGCAAAGAAGAGGGGAAAAATTGTTTTTATAATAATAAAAATAACAAAGTTTCTTTGATACTTTTCTTGTAAGGGTTAGTCCCGAAATTAGTATAAAGTTTTTGGTGTCTCTGCTCCTTGTGGACCGTCTCGCAGAATATGGCATTCTGGTGGACGATATTGACTGGGTCTTTCTCTTTCCCCTTCCCTTCGGCGGCCATGTTGTTTGTCCGTTGCCTAGGAAACGCAAAACCCGCCAACAACTTTGCAGAATCCCGTTCCTATCCGTATATTGTCAATATACGGAATCGTCAATTTGAATAATTCATAAGTTAGGAGAGGAGCCTAAGAGCTATAATCTTGATTCGTCTTCTCTTTCCGCTTGTAACTCGACCCATAAGCTTTATACCCTCTTCTTTATCCTCTCCCGGGACTGTAAAAGGTCCACTTGATCGACTAAAAAGCGAGACGGGTCTACTTATAAGAAACTTTGCAAGAAATCCCCAAGAGAAAGTTACCCGAGTAGGGACACACTCTCTCGCCCTCGCCTCCAGTCACTGGATGCCTGGCCTGCTCTAAGACAAACAAGAGAACTTTATCTTTCATTCCTTCGCCAGACCTCGCCTCCTTCTCCACTGCACTGTGAACAGGGTGTCCAGGGCAGTTAGAGACAGGAGATTTTGGTGAAGATTCATTTAAGAGAAAACTACAAATGCCAGAAACTCGATCTCCTTATACACTAACACTACACAGTCCAGCCACTAGCAGTGCTTCTTCTTCATCTGTAGCTACCTACCACTGGCCACTACAAATAACTGTAAGTGAAAGAGAGAGGGGGAGGGAAAGAAAGAAACAATAATGAAACAAAATGTCAGGAGGGGAGGAAGAGGGAGAGAAAGAGAGAGAGGGGGAGGAAAATAGACATGTTAATAATCATTATCTCCCCTGCTGTACTATAATCACTTTCATGTTTTTATATTACACCTAATCTCATTACTTTACATATAAATATCATTAACAATACACAACTATACACTAACAATAATACACCTCTTAATACACCTATATATAAAGTATTGCTCATAAACAATACACTATAATATGTAATGAATGACATATAGATAAGTAAAGTATGGCTGTATAGTGGATATTATCAATCGCCCTATCATAGCTGTACTGGGAATATGAATACTATTAACACTAATATGAAATGGCCTTATAAGGTAGTAATGATTATCACATTAAGTGCGTACACTGTGTACATTATGTGAATTTATATGAGGGTATATGTCATTGGTTTGTATACTATAGTGTATTGTTAGTGTGTGTGTATAATATTGATTAGTCCGTATGTAATGAAGTTTATTAGGTCAATTATTTGCTTCGGTATATTGCCAACTTATTGCATTTCTCCCTCTCTCCTCCTACTCTCTCTCTCTCTCTCCCCTCCTCTCCCTCTCTTTTACATGTGTACATCCACTGTGTCATTACCATTATTATTGTTTTTTATAATTCTTTTGTTCTGTTTATAAACAATTTCTTACAAACTTATACTCATTTTCTCACCCTCAAAGATATCCATATACTATAGTGTACATGTACTTCCATGCAGCTACCTTTCTATGAATAATATAACATGTGGTTCATTCATTGCATTATTTTGCTTTGTGTATACCTATACACGTATGGAGGTGAATATTATTATCATTATTGCATCAGTTATATAATGGTGTGTGTGTGTGTGGTCTGGTGATGTTTTTGATGTCATTGTTCAGTGTTTGTGCTATGGGACTTGAGTCGAATATACATTGTACTTGATATGTGACATCTCTCTCTCTCCCTCCCTCTCCCTCTCTCTCTCTCTCTCTCTCCCCCCCCCCCCTCTCTCTCTCTCTCTCTCTCTCTCTCCCCCTCCTCTCTCGTAGGAATCATGGAATGAAGCTCACGAGATTGCAGAGACAGTGAGGTACATCTATGCTACATGTACATATACATGATTAGCATATACTATTACTATTGGTGATTAGTGTGGTTCAGTATATGTACATGTATATGTACATATACATGTATGTGTGTGTGATGTGTGTGTGTGTGTGTGTGTGTGTGTGTGTGATTGAGTCATTGAGTATTACTATGGAATGAGGTTTGTAGTGGCTTCCTCTACTGTCTTTTACTCATCAGCCACTCATTACTAACAATTAATAGTAATACAGTATACTGTACTGATACTAATACATACTTAATACGGTATACAGTATGTATTAATAGCAGTATAATAATCAATACAGTGTAGCTATATACAGTATGTGTTGTGTATATTCTTCAGTATATTAATGTTTGTGTTATGATTGGTGTAGCCATACATGTACTGTCTTCACTTTGTCTCCTAACAATTTCTCATTATAGTCTAGTTTCATTTCTCTTATCTGCCACCTATATGTGAACTTGATATGATACTATTATCACATCTACATGTATTTTAATCTCTCCCATTTTCTTCTCTCCTTCTCTCTCCCTCCCCCTCTCTCTCTCCCTCCCTCTCTCTCCCTCTCTCTCCCTTTCTCCCTCTCTCCCTCCCTCCCTCCCCCCCTCTCTCCCTCTCTTTCTCTCTCTCTCTCCCTCTCCCTCCCTCCCTCTCTCCTATAGGTGGGTGTGTAGTGATTTCCCTGAGCTAGAGACAGCAGTACAGAACTGTATCTTCAATCACTTTGACCCTTCAAGGTACAAATACATGTACAATGAACACATCATATCAGTACAAATTATGTACAATTGTATGTATGTGTATACCATCTCTTCAATCTATCAGCTTGTTTTTAACAAAGAATAATAACAATGATCAATGAAGCATGCAACTACATGTACATGTACATAGCCCACAATAGGACAGTATATTCATTGTATGTTATTGTGCATGTACATGTATATATTGTATTATAGTCATGCCTGAATTGATTCAATGAATGTACATGTATATGTACACAGTATACTTATGTACGCCTATATGTACTGGTATGTATGTACATGTACAGTGTATATGGGCCGGTATTGGGTTATGGTTGGTTTGTGTGTGTGTTGACTGTATATGGTTCATTTGGTTGTGACATTCCAAACAGTTAGCCTCCCACACTTTAGATAATTGATATTAATACACTGCAAATACATGTACATGTACATTTATAATGTACTACATGTACATGTATGTATTATCTTCATAGCTTACACCTGGATGTTATTCAACTGACTCTCTCTCTCTCTCTCTCTCTCTCTCTCTCTCTCTCTCTCTCCCCCTCTCCTCTCTTTAGCTTTGAAAGTATGAAAATGTTCTGTGAGAAGTACAACAGAGCTGTAGATAACATCAGGAAACTGGTCAGTCTTGTATTAAAACTGTGTTAATATCCCATTCAATTGTTAAGCAACTCTGCGTTAAATACGTGCTATTCCTTATTCAAACTTTAAAATTAGCCCCTTTCTTTCTTCTTTCTTTCCCTAAACTTTAGAAATGATTGACACCTTTATTTTATCTGTTAGCATGTGATTGTTTGTTATTGTACAGTATTGTGTTAATACCGCGTTAGTATGGTGTTAGTTTATGCATTGTTACTATGGGCTGGTAGTGTTATCAATGTGTTAGTATTGTGTGTATGACAGGGTGTCACTGCTGACCCTGACTGTTTGAAGTATCACATGATAATTTGGATTGCATATACTATATGTATACATGTACATGTACATGTAAATAATACATGTACATGTACATTTTATCCGTATTACTATTGTTATGATTACAATTGTAATAATTATGCAGCTGTTAGCCCTGGTGCCTTCCCGCCCACACTCTTTATCCTCTACAATACTCATTATTGTATTATTGTGGTCTGAGTGGTTTTTATATTGGTCATACTCATTCAATGGATAACCTAATCATTGTATGTGTATGAAGACCTTCATGTGCTTATAGGAATCATGATTAATGTACAGTGTAGCCTTTATAATAAGGACACCTTTATAATAAGGACACCTTTATAATGAGGACACCTTTATAATGAGGGCATATGTTATGCCCAATTGGTTCAAGCTTATGTAAAAATACCTCTGAAATGAGGACACCTCTGTATTAAGGAGAGGTAGTGTGGGCCCAATGGTGTCCTTAATAAAGAGGCTACACTGTACATGTATTAAGGACAGGTAGTGTGGGCCCAATGGTGTCCTTAATAAAGAGGCTACACTGTACATGTATTAAGGACAGGTAGTGTGGGCCCAATGGTGTCCTTAATAAAGAGGCTACACTATAGTACAATACACATGTTTTTTATTTTCTTTATTAAATGTTATTATTGTTGATTGTGATTTGTATATTTACTTGTTGCCTGCCAAATTAAATTAGTCAGTACATACACTGTAATTCTAACACACTTTATTGGCACTGCATTGTGTTGTTATACAAAAATTAACATTATTCTTTTTCTTCTTCCAGTGGTCAGGAAGACAGCCTCCTCCTTGTATAGATGTCCTACCATCTTCACAGCATCTTAAACACATCATAACACAGATATACAACAGATCAGTCAAGAAACCTGAGGACTTGAATCAGTACGAACCATTCTCACCAGAAGTAAGGATAACAATAGATATGCATGTATAGTGTAGCCTCTTTAATAAGGACACCATTAAAATGAAGATACCTTTATAATGAGGACATTTTTTAATGTCCCAATTGGTACAAGCCTATGCAAAAGTACCTCTGAAATGAGGACACCTCTGTATTAAGGACAGGTAGTGTGGGCCCAATGGTGTCCTTAATAAAGAGGCTACACTGTACATGTATTAAGGACAGGTAGTGTGGGCCCAATGGTGTCCTTAATAAAGAGGCTACACTGTACATGTATTAAGGACAGGTAGTGTGGACCCAATGGTGTCCTTAATAAAGAGGCTACACTGTACATGTATTAAGGACAGGTAGTGTGGGACCAATGGTGTCCTTAATAAAGAGGCTACACTGTACATGTATTAAGGACAGGTAGTGTGGGCCCAATGGTGTCCTTAATAAAGAGGCTACACTGTACATGTATTAAGGACAGGTAGTGTGGGCCCAATGGTGTCCTTAATAAAGAGGATATACTGTATATGGCATTGTTGTTGTTATTTTTGTTGTTATCAGTGTTATTATTATCATTCTTATTATATTTATACTTCTTCCTTATTGTTAGGTTTATGGTGAAACATCCTTTGAGTTGATTCAAGAAGTTATAGCAACAACAAGAATGACAGAGAATGACGTCTTTCTGGACCTTGGAAGTGGTGAGTACAAAGTGCCCTAGCTCCTACCTTTTACCCTCTCCCTCCCTCTCTCTCTCTCCCTCCCTCTCTCTTTCTCCCTGTCTCTCCCTCTCTCTCCCTGTCTCTCTCTCCCTCCCCTCTCTTTCTCCCTCTCTCTCCCTCTCTCTCTCTCTCCCTCTTTCTCTCCCTCTCTCCCTCCCTCCCTCTCACTCTCCCTCTCTCTCTCTCCCCTCCCTCTCCCTCTCTCTCTCTCTCCCTCTCTCCCTCCCTCCCTCTCTCCCTCCCCATCCCTCTCCCTCTCTCTCCTCTCAGGTGTTGGTCAGATAGTCCTTCAGGTTGCTGCTAGTGTTGGTTGTAAATGCTATGGCATTGAAAAGGCTGATATCCCTGCTAAATATGCTGAGGTACATGTTTATGCATGTACATGTACACAATGTGTTCATGTACTAGTCCAATTTCGATTGGAATCAGCCCAAACTTTCTACACAGTACTCGTATATGCATAAGGAAACCTTATAAAAATTGAGAATTTCTTACTTTTCAATTTTGGCAAAATTTGGCCAAAGTCCCTGTACTATATAGTACAGGGACTTTGGGCTGATTTTTGAGCAACTTAAAAAATTCATAAAAAATCCAAATTTTATCGGAATCAGCTCAAACTTTCTACGCAACATGAGAACGTGTGTATGCATCAGGAAAAAATATGAAAATAAAGATTTCTCACCTTTTATATTTTTGGCAAAATTTGGCCCGAGACCATGTACTATAGTACAGGGACTTTGACCAAATTTTACCAAAATTGAAAAGTAGAGAATTCTGCATTTTTATAATATTTTCTGATACATATACATGTACTTATGTTGCGTAGAAAGTTTGAGCTGATTCCGATCAAAATTGGATTTTTTATGAATTTTTAAAGTTGCTCATAAAATTGTGCCAAAGTCTTCATAATATAATATGCATGTTCATGTACATGTATATAGCATATGGGTATTTTGTCAAAGTTGCTTTAAATTTGGTTTTAAAATATTACTTGCTCCTTCTTCTCCTCTAGACGATGGACTCTGAGTTTGTTCGGTGGATGGACTTTTACGGTAAAAGTTACGGCGAGTACGAGCTATTAAAAGGAGACTTCATGGATCCTAAATTCGAAGAGATCTTTAATTCGGCAACGTAAGACCACGCCTACCTCATTAATAAAATTTTAAAAAATTTTTAGTGTTTTATTTTGTAATAATTACGCATTCGGACCTGATCTTAATCATCGACTAACACTCAAATTTCAGAATCTCAGAGACGGTGAGACCACACCCCTAAATAAATGTATTTTAACCCTTTCATTTTTTTAGGCGTCAAAATCGTCTCCTCGAGAGAGTTCTGTCCACTTAATTTTCGATTAACGGAAAGAAAATTATCCGGTAAAATAAATAAAATAATAAATCTTATAATACTGTTATTATTATTTATCTATTGTTGTGTGTTGTTGTTGTTTAGACATTGGTGCGATGATGCGTGTGGTCCAGTTGTCTCCTTTAAAAGGTAAAGTCTCGTGGACCGATAAACCAGTGTCCTACTATCTACACATGATCGACAGGACTGTGGTAAGATGGGCTGATACATGTACACTATCATATACAGATTAAATGTACATGTACATGTATGTACTGAATGTTTTTTTTTGTTTTTTAGTTGGAAGAATTCTTTCATAAGCAGAAACATGCTGGAGAAAAGGTAACTAATTTCATAATGTACATGTATATGTATTATATGATACATGTACATGTACATGTAATCCTTATTATATTGACATTCACTTTGCATGTACAAATGTAGACACGTACCTTGTGTACATTTTAATCTCTTCTCTCTCTCTCCCTGTAGTCTGAAGGTTCCACTACTTCATTATCAGGAGATGAAGATGATAGTAATAGTTCCTCTTCGTCTGATTCAGAATCATCCTCAAGCAGTTCTGAAGGCTCCAGCCTTGACAGCACAAACGAGGATCTATTCCCGTCCCAGAACAGAATGGGACCAGTCGAACACTACCACTTCCCTCCCTCCTCGAATCAGTATCTTACCGAGAGACCACACCCAATTGCCGAAAGGCCACACTCTTTAGATCGACCACACCCACTTTCCTCATACAGGAAGTCAATGAGTACCAGTACTTCGTCTGTTCCTAAAAAGTCCACGCCCCCTGTAGGCTCTACCCATCTACCCCACCCACCCCATCCGCATGTACCTCATCCTAAGAGACACAGGACTAAGGTTGTGGGCGGAGCAGTAGGTGTGGCTAGGGGCGGGGCCAAGAGGAAGAGGTTATCAAAGAAAGAACCAAACTCGATACAGCTCCAGCATCAGGGAACACCGCTGATTGACCACGCCTCCTTGAATAGACTATTTGGTAATTTTATATAAAAATTTAGTAAAAAATAATGTGACATTAAAAAACAGTACATGTACAAGCAATTAAGATTAAAACTCCAATACCATAAAAACAATGATATTTATGGTACACTTTACAGTAAATGCATGTAAATTTTTAGTGCAAGATATCTTTAAAAATTACTGTAATATCTCTTATTTTTTCTTTTAGACTCCTTTAGACAGCAGAATGAAGCATATTTGAGTCAACTTGGTTCATCTTCATTCGCTGCCTGGCTGACTGATGCTGCTGAGAAGGAGAAGATGAAGCGAAAGCACCTAACAGGAGTCATAGAGCACCTCGAGTCTGAAGTGAAGTCTTTGTCTCAGGAGACTATACAGAGTATGAAGAAGAGTATGCTAAGCCTGGGTAAGGATAAGTATACCTTTAGGACCAAAGTACTGGTACTATAATACATTGTAGTACAGGGTATTTGTCAAAAATGATAAGGAGAAAATTATTACATTTTCTGATGCATACATACATGTAAATGTACATGTTCTTTTCAAGTCTATGTACTGTACATGTACATTCTATATTATTATTATTTTTATTAAATAACTATTATTTTTATTACTTTGTTCATTGTTTTAGGTATAACTGATCTAACACCAGAGGGTCTTCTCTGTGGTGCCAAAGACATTGTGGCTCTCAACAGACAGCTAAGGAAAGAAGTAGAGCTTTTGGAAAGAGAAGTGGTTCAACTTAAAGAGCAGCATCACTCCATGAATGGAATCAATTGCCACTCTCCTTCTCCTCCAACTCTCGTCCCTCCTCCTCCTCCTCCTCATAATGTACCTCCTCCTCAAAATGATAATAATCCTATTACTGTTCCTCCATCACCTCCTCTTTCTAAAGTAGTAAGTGTTATATGATCTAATACTGTATAGCTCTTGTGTTTGGTGGAGCTTTAGTTTTGGGATTGGCACAAACTGCCCACTACAAGATACATGTACATGTACATGTACATTTTACAGCAAAATCACCAAAATAATGTCCTACATTGTACTGTACATACTGTGTTATTATTTTTATTATTCTTAAAAATTATTTTTAGGTCAATGAAACACCTGATAATGCACTGTTAGTGACTGGTTCCTCTCCACTCCTACCTAATGAAGAAACCACCTCTATAACGATCCCATCACTGACCCCGCCTACTGCCACGCCCACTGAAATAAAAAGCGAAGCAAGAGAACCCTCTCCTCCGCCAATAGTATCAATACTCTGTGTTGAAGAGGCAGGAACTGCAGAGCAGAAACTATCGGAATTATCTTCTCCTAATTCTTTCTCTCCTCCGTCCTCTCTCCTCCAGTTTGAGATCAGACTAGAGACGATAGATCAGGCCGTTCTTGAACTAGGACCTTTCGCTAAAGAGGTACATCAACAGGATAGATTAGGAGTTGATTCCGTGTCAATGGGTTGGAACGATTTTAGAAAGGATAAAATGGGTGTGGTTATAGGTGGGGCTGCGAGTGTGGTACCGCCCCTTGCCCCGTCTGTGTTTAAAAGTGGTGAGATACCGCCTGTGACGGTAGCAGCTGTATCGTCTCTCAAAGGTGTCAAGAAAAATGGACGCAGAAAGAAAGAGGAGATGCCATCATGGACTAATGGGGCACCCCCAATATTATCAATGGGCGTGTCTGTTGCCGGGGGTGATGACGTGATGAAAAGTGCCACGCCTCCTTTAAGACCGGAGTCTTTAGTATCAGAAACAACTTCAGTTGCCGAGGCTATGTTAGCGCTTGGCCATGCCCCTAATAACGAGGCTCAGACCACGCCTACTCCTGTTAGTATGCCAGCTCTTAGAACCAGTAGTGGTAGTGTTGTGGGGGAGGTCAGGGACGAGGGTGCAAGAGGACGTTCCTCTTCAACCTCCTCTCACCCTCTCCCTCCCCTTCCTTCTCTCAGTCGGTTACCTCCCCCTCCTGCGTCTCTCAATATTCCACCGCCCTCTGTATCGGCCATGCCCCCTTCTCTCCCCCCTGATCCTGCTCCTCTTGCTAAAAATAGAACCGGTAGTACCAGCAGTTTAAAATCCAACACTTCTTCTCTAGCAGTCATAGAAGATCCTTCTCCTCCATCTAATATTGCTCTTACTCAGTATGAGGCTAGTTCTAATAAAAGCACACCTCCCGTGGGTCGTTCCTCTTCTCGAGACCACGCCCCTCCCTCCAGAGACTTGGCCCCGCCCTCTGCAACGTCTGGAAACCCATTCCTACCTCCTAATCTACAGACTCAGACCGATTCCTCTGCTGTGGTCTCATTCCCATACTCCTTTGGCTGGAACCAGCCTCTGTATCGGACTAACTTTTATCCAGCTGCTAATCCCGCCCACGCACTCACATACGGAGTATCAGCTGACTCTACCCACTCGTTAGATACTCAGATACGCCCACTTTTATCACCTTACCTGTTCCGGTATCCTTACACTGGGGCCATGGGGACTCACTCTTTACAGGGTAGCATCCCGTTAGGAGGAGTAGCCTCTGCTCCTTTTCAACCCACGACTCTCTCTTCTCCTCCGTCTCGTCTCTCAGCTTTTAAAACTCTCCACCAGCAGCCATTTAATAGATCTCTGACTCCGCCCACTCTCCACCCACTAGTGACTGCTCAAGGTCTCGATAAAGTCCCTACCCCGACTGTAGGTGATGCCTTGAACCCCTGGTTCCTTAGCCAGTACCCGTCAGCCCCTGCTGGTGGGGTAGCGTTTCCTTTTGGAGTCCTCTCACAGCAAGCCACGCCTACAATACCTCCGGGTACTTTTGGAGTATTAGCCGGGGGCCTTCAAACTCCGCCCACTAGCGGGGAAGAAAAGAGAATAGGAAGAGGAGGGAAGAGAGGTCCTACTGAGTATTATACCAGTACAGTTCATGATAAGCCGTCACACGAGATGCTGCAACACAGACAGACCTTTGATCATTCACTTCTATCGTCACCTTCACCTTCCTCACCTCGTCTGGAGGGGAGGGTGAGAGGGGGCGGGGCCAAGTCCGAGAGTAGATCCACTCCCAGACTAAAGATTCACCAGATGAATAACGAGGACTTTCAAGCAACAGACAAAGGAACTGATCGTAGAAGGCGAAGACCACGTATATCCCATCAACCTAATCCTGTTAAAGACTTTGGGACAGTGACTCATGTTAACGAGGTGTCTGAGACTCCGCCCACTCCAGAAGAAGACATGATTGATGTGACATCTATTGATCCATCGCCACACCCTCTTTTAATAAGAGGACATCCTCTCGAATCAGATCAATTGATTCATATTGAAGATTCACCGGCCCCGCCCACTCCTCCTGTAGCCCCACCCACTGAGAGTAGTACCGCCCACACATCTAACGAACCTACCACTAAAGAGAAAAATTTTGTGGTTAATAAAAATACAGAGAAAGAAGAAGAGTTGATATTGTTATCTGATCAAGAGGGAGGATCTTCCGAAGGGACAGTGTCTGCTTCTCCTTCCCCTCTCCCCCTCTCTCCTCCTCCAGTAAGTAGCCACACCTCCTTCCTTTTCTCTCAAGACAATGACTCATCACTGACCTCCTCCAGACCAGCTGAAGAGACCAAAGATCAAGAAAGAGTAGGAAACACTCCTCCTGTTACTACTGCTATCATAGAAATGGCTACTCCTTCCGTAATCACAGAAATTAATCGCCATATTCAAGGTACCATATTTAGGTCAAATTCCCTGCACTATAGTACATGGTTTCAGGCCAAATTTTTCCAAAATTGGAAAGGAGAGAATTCTGCATTTTTTACAATTTATTTAGATGCATATACATGTTCTTATGCTCTGTAAAAAGTTTGAGTCAATTCCGACGAATGATTATTGAGTTATGGCCTCTTTTTAAAATGGGCCAATTTTTAAAAAATACCCAAGGCTATAGCCCATGGTTTTTTCCAAAAAATGACTAAAAATTGACCCCCAATTTTTATTACATTTTCTGATACATATGGATGTCCTTATACTGTGTAGAAAGTTTGAGTCGATTCTGATAAGTAATTTTCGAGTTATGACCATTTAAAAAAACAGTCTAATTTTTGAAAAATACCCAAGGCTATAGCCCATGGTTTTTCCCAAAAAATGACTAAAAATTGACCCCCAATTTTTATTACATTTTCTGATACATATTGATGTCCTTATGCTGTGTAGCAAGTTTGAGTCAATTCCGATAAAAAATTTTTGAGTTATGACCATTTTAAAAAATGGGCCAGTTTTTGAAAAATACCCAAGGCTATAGCCCATGGTTTTTTCCCAAAAAATGACTAAAAAATGATCCCCAATTTTTATTACATTTTCTGATACATATTAATGTCCTTATGCTCTGTAGCAAGTTTGAGGCGATTCCGATCTAAGTTGGATTTTTTACAAATATTTAAAGTTGCTCCAATACTTACTGCTACTATATTCTTTATTCCTATAGTGTCTGGTGTGAACAGCAGTACTACTGACAGCCACTGCTTACAACCATCAAATAAAGTATCCGGTTCCAGGACTACTACTACTATTGGCATTAATACTGCTAGTATACATCAACCACCTACTACAGTAGCTACTATTGCTACTACTAATGATACTAGTGCTAATAGTGAAGGACTGATAGCAGAGAAAGAAAGAGAGTCACATACAACAGGAGAAAAGGGAGGAAGGACATTAGTAACTGATAATACCTCATCACTGATAGGTAACAGTCATGTTACTGTACATTCTGATACAACAAGACCTGATGATGCTAATCCTCAATACACTAACAGTGTCAATGGTAGCAGTATTACTGAGTCACAATCTACTAGTACCAGTATCGTACAATCAAACACCACTTCGTTACTCTCGACTCCGCCCCTTTCTCAAACCATGCCCACTCCATTAATTAATACCATTACGATCAGTCATTCTGAGGATGAATCAAGTGATAAAGAGAAAGGATCTTATCTACCGATCGACATGTCTGACATCAGCGGAATGAGATTTGAGTTTGACGACAGTGAAGAGAAAAGCCTCGAAATTACAAGTCTTCACTCTTCGTCTCCTGGTAGTGACCATGCCCATTTATCGTTGAATTCTAATCCACCACCAGGAGAGGAGGAGGAGGAGGGAGAGATACTATCAGTTGATGATTTAGAAGTTGAAGAGAAGGAGGAGGAGGAGGAGGAAGGTAAGAGATTGGAAGAAGATAAAGTAGAAGCTGACCCTGAGGATGTTTTTCAAGATGGCGGTCACAACCCTCACTCTTCCCGACTCCTCTCTTCATCATCGTGTTCATCAGATGCTCTTCGCTACCATGAGGATAGGATCTCTCTCTCTGTGGACGACAGACTCTCCCCTCCCACCCCTCAGAAGACTCTGCCCACCTCCAATATGCTACCAACGTCTACCGCTAATCCTATTAAAGAGAAGAGAAATTTTTTCAGTTTGGATGGAGACAAAAGTACAAGTCAGCGATTTAATACGATTGATATCAGAATTGATAGTGAAGACATTAGCAGAGAAGGTGATGAGACTGGTTTTGAAGTAAAGCCTAGCGAGATTACTAGTAATAATTTCACCAGTACTGTTCTTACTGATGATATTAGCAGCAGTCAAGAGTCTTTGAAAAAGAAAAAGAAGAGGTTGTTGAACAGGGATTTCACCAAACACTCTCAGTCAAGAACAATCTCCACTGCCATAGCTAGTCCTCCATCTTCAACTATTAAACAATCATCAACTCAAATCAAAGAGAGACCGAGAGAGAAGAGTCTATCAAAGCATTCCAGTAAACTACATGTACACCATGTAGAGGAGAAACACCGTCACCATCGTCATAGACACCGTCACCACGGTGACAGGTTGACCACGCCTCCTAGTCGTCACGAGCAACATGGAGGGTCGTCTGAAAGAAAAGGACATCATAGATCACCGAGACCACGCCCTCATGTCGGAGAGGAACAGTTGTCACCTCATCGTAGCCACGCCCACAACAGAATGAAGAGACACAGTCCGAGTGAAGATCGTACTCATCATAAGAAGACAAGCCACACCCACTCCTCCGCCCACTATCATCATGATCATAATCACTGCAGTGGGCGGAGTCACTCTTCAACTCCTGTCAGCGATCATTATGAAAGTGGGCGTGTCTTTGATAAACCACACCCACACAGAACAAAGGAATCGTCACCGAGCTGGAACTCTGATGGTCCCGAGGATGGGAGGGTGTGGTCTCATCACCATGGCGACCATAGAAAGAGGCGTGGCAGTGAAGGAAGTGGGGAGGATGTTAAATATAAAAAGAGAAAACATCATAAGAATCATGATGAGTCCAGATACTACAATAAAGAACATCAACCTACTTCAGTTCCTTATTAATGAGACACACACACACATACTGCTGTATAACTACTACCCAATGGCTGCTCTCTCTCTCTCTCTCTCTGTTTGTGATAGATTATAAATTATTATTATTATTATTATACACAAATTATGTACATGCTTAGCATGTTATTTTTATAATACAATGTAGCAATTTCTCTTTCTTTCTCTCTTAAGAATTAATTAAATATAAATAATGTAAAAGAATAATTAAAAGTAATGAGCCACACCCTTTTGATCACATGACATGATGACAATTATTTGCTAATTAGTTTTTCTAGCTGTGGAGCGCGCAGAGGAGGTTCGACAGGAAGTCTGCACAGGAAATAAATTTCATCACAATGATTAAATATTTGGCATACTTTCAATTAAAATTGAACATGGCGGCTATGGTAACTACTATTGCCTTTTGCCTCATAAAGAAATTAAGCGGGGTACATGGACGCTAATGAGGTCAAGTTTCTTAAAATCCTTTTGGAAACCATGTGGGGGAATAAAAACTATGGGAACACCAGTAAAAACCGTGTCCCATTTCTAATATTATCACGTGAGCCCTTAAAGGGCTCACGTGATGCTAATTAAGTGACCTTTTGACCCTGTCTACCTCTGGCTGTGGAGGAGGGTGGGAGCTATGGCGTCTAAAAGTAAGTCCTATTGTTACTATTCCAGTGATCATGTACTGTCAATCATTGATAGATCAACTGAAGGGAAGAGTCTTTCACTGCACTGTATCAGTAGGTGATTCACTGTATGTGTGGGGTGGTCTTCAGGCTGGTTTGCCTCGAGTACATGATAGTGAAGAGAAGAGAAGGTTCACTAGTAATATACAGCACTTTACTCCTTCAACTGGTCAATGGATCACTAGAGGTACTACTGGTACTCCTCCATTAGGAGTGAGTGGATACTGCTGTACTGCAATAAATAATCTATTGTATTATTTTGGAGGAGCTTGTGGCCATAGCAATTGCTATTACAACAGTATTACACAACTGGATACCGTTAGTCTTCAATGGAGAGAATTAGAACCAACTGATGCAACTAGACCAGTTATGAGGAGAAGTGGCAGTGGAATGATATCATTTGAACATGATGGAGTACACCATTTACTAATGATAGGAGGAAAAAGGATCTAAACCAGCTGTACAACTACTTCATTATGAATATATTGAGTTATATGATGGAGACTGGCGTACTAATGAGCACTCAAGGTATAATCTATCATCAAGTAAGATTTTATTATTATTTGAATTTATGTTATTAATGTTAATTCAGGAAAATGGAGTAATCCTTCAATCATTGGTCAGTGTATATCACCTGCTGGTGGCTTTATCATTAAAAAGATCAACAACACTAGAGCTGTTCTGTTTGGTGGACGAGTGACTAATGATGCTAAGGATACTGTTACTAACAATATTTATATATTAGAGATATCAATCAGCACTGTGGTATGTTAAATTATGTGTAGCTGAATGTACCGTATATCCTTAAATAGAAGCCGCATTCGAATAAACGCCGGGGTAGCAATACAATTTAACTATAAATACGCAACACTAGCCTAGGAGTGACTCAGTAGTCTAGTGAATAATGCCTGAAGTTCCAGAAGTCAAAAGCATGAGGTCACGGGTTCGAACCTCGCTCTGGGCCTTCGAGGTCCAAATACCATTTTAGGAAATAGACGCCTTGGCTTTTATTTAAGGAAATACTGTATGCACACACACACACACACACACACACTATTGTCATTGTTAATGGGTTTGGTCATTTTATTTATTAGTTCTGGCAGTGTATAAGGAAACCTGAAGCAATAGACCAATGGCCTGTGGGTAGATGCTATCATGCAGGTGCTATTATTGTAACTGGATCAGACTGTCCTATGCTAGTGATAAGTGGTGGGCTGGATAAGAATAAAGATACATCAGATGATTGTTGGATCTTTAACATCACTCAACATTCCTGGATAAAGGTATGTACAGTGAGATACATGTAAATTATTAATTTATTTCTATTAACAGTTAGCTGTACCTCACTCTGTTAGTAAGAGATGGGGTCATTCTCTCTCAGTGTTCATTATGAGTCCTCATTGTGTCTGGATAATAACTGTTGGTGGATTTGTTGATGAGAGTTTGACACTAGTCACTGATCCTAACATTGCTACGGTAACTGAACTAGGTCAGTCAGTGTATTATGATAGTGTATTGAGTAGTATTATGATTTAAGGCTTTTTTATGCCATAAATTGAAACCCGGCATTAAAAATTTTAAATCCAAAGAATTAACTTTGGTTTATTACTATACAGCTTTATGTATTGTTTGTGAATAATTATGATTAACATTATTCATAAGTGGGTGTGTCATTATTATTATCATGATAGTATGTTTGCTTTTCATTTCTAAAATTTAAACCCACTCCTGAATTCACCTTTTAATTACCACAATTGACATGAAGTTATTGCCCAATTTACTTTTTATGATTTGCTTTATTTCTAATCATTAGTTCTGAACAGTAAAGGAGAGTGGACAGTAGGTGATACATTGGATACCAATGAAATGACTGGTGAGTACTACAAGAGGAAGTATCAGCAGGAACTACAGACAGGAAGAAGAATATGGTTGGAGGAGTACCAGAAACCAAGAAAAGGAGATACAGCCGATATTGAGCAAACCGTACAAGCTCTTATGAAGAGTCTGAAGAGAAGGAGAAGGAAAAGGAGAGAGAAGCACG